GTACAGGCTGGGGGCAGGGGGGGTCCCATTGCACTGGGTTCAAGACCCACCCTTTTGTTACCAGCCGTGTGATTGTGGGCAGTTCATGTCCTTTTTCCCTTGCACCTCGAGGTCTGCATCTATAAAACGGGATGAAGACCTCACAGAGTTGCTGTGGAGATTATCATTCACCAGTTCATCCATTCCATGAACATCTGAGACCTGCTGTTTGCCATTCGTAGTTCTGAGTGGCAAGGAGATGAATGTGAACGAAGCCTCTCTCTCCAGAGGCTGACACATCCTAGTGAAGAGAGAGGGCTGCCACAGAGGGGGTGGGTGGTAGGGGTGACGTTGGCAAGACCGCAGATCTGGGAGGGCCTCAGAGTCACTGCATGGGCTTTGGGTGTTGTGCTACTTGATATGTGGAGCCATAGGAGGGTTTCAACAAGAGGAATGATCCAGCTGCCTTACATTTCAAAACACTACTCTGGCTGCTAAGCTGGAGATAGACTTTAGGGGGCCAGGATGAAAACAGGTAGAATAATGAGGTCATCTTGGTAATGTAGGTGAGAGGCAATGGTGGCTTGAACTAGAATGACAGCAGCACGGGTGGAGGAAAGAGGTTATGTTTTGGAGGTAACCAGAACTTGCTGATGAGGTAAGGTGTGGTGTTTGAAGGAAACAGAGGAGTCAAAAGCAAGTCCCAGTTTTTGGCCAAGCCAACTTGAAGCACAGATTTGCCATGGGGAAGACTCCAGTCCAAGCTGGGACAGAGGGAAGTTGAGAGTTCATTTTCCGGGCATGTAAATTTAAGACTCTATTAGATACCATGTGGAAATGTCAGGAGTGCCCTGGGGCTCTGTGTTGTGGGGGTGGGGAGGGGAACTCAGCTAAGAAGGCTGATGGGGGAGGTGGGAGACAGAAGAGGAGAGTAACTGCAAGTGTCAGTGCAGCTGCAGGACTCGGAAGTGGCCACAGTGCCCAGGACAGCCTGTGCACTGTGGGTGTCTGATCAGGCCTCTCCTCATCCCTCTCTCTTTTCCGTGTCAGATAGCAGATAACCTCACCCAAATATGTGCCATAGCCACCCTCAACGATCCTGCTTTTCTAGATCACTCCGTTTTAAATGTACTAAAGACAAACTTAGGCCCTCCTGGTAAGACTGGACTCATCCTGCTTAAAATCGCATGACTTCTGAACTGGGTCTTCGTATGTATCGTGTCTTCAGAACATAAAAACAGAAATTCCTAAACTTTCGGTGCTGTGTTGACCTATGAAGAAGGAAGAAAATAAGAAGACAAGCGTTTAAAAGGCTTATTATGTTCTAGACATGAAACCTTCACATACATTCGTTATTTATTTACTTACTTGGTTTTAGAGGCCGAGTCTCACTCTGTCTCCCAGGCTGGGGTGTAGTGGTATGATCATAGCTCGCTGCACCCTCAAACTCCTGGACTCAAAGGATCCTCCTGCTTCGGCCTCCTGAGCAGCTAGGTCTACAGACATGTGCCACCATGCTTTACTAATTTTTTAATTTTTTTATAGAGACGGGGTCTCGCTATGTTGCCCAGACTGGCTCAGACCCCTGGCCTCCGGGGATCTTCCTGCCTCAGCCTCCAAAAGGGTTGGAAGGACTGGAGGCGTGAGCCACCACACCCGGCCTGTTTGTTTCTTATTACATACATTTATAGCTATTCTACAGAAAATGTTCCTCAACTTACAAGAGGGCCACATCCCAATAAGTCCATTACAACTTGAAAATATTGCAAGTCAGAAAATAAAGGAAACATTAAGAAAAAAATGCACTTAATAACAGTCTCACTGTTGTTGCCCGGGCCGGGGTGCCATGGCACGATCTTGGCTTACTGTAACCTCTGCCTTGTGGGTTCCAGCAATTTCCCGCCTCAGCCTCCTGAGTAGCTGAGATTACAGGTGCTCGCCACCACGCCTAGCTAATTTTTTGTATTTGTAGTAGAGATGGGGTTTCACCTTGTTGGCCAGGCTGGTCTTGAACTCCTGACCTCAGGTGATCCACCCACCTCAGCCTACCTTAGATGTACTCAGAATACTCACATTATCTCGGATTTGGACAAAACCATCTGGCCATGCAGCACACTGTGGAGATGGGTCGTTCCTCTCATGGTTGCATGGCTTGTGGCAATCTGGGAGCTGCGGCTCACTGCCTCTGCGCAGCATTGCAGGGGAGCATTGCACCACACACCACCAGCCCAGGAAAAGAACAGAATTCACCATTCTATGCACAGGCTCTCCTGAATCCCTATGGCTTTCGCAACATCTTAAATGTTGCAGAAATCTTACATTGAGCCATTATAAGTCGGGGACTATCTGTCTGTATAGTCAGACTTTGAGTATTCACCACCCTGGTGCTAGTTCCACCCTGGTGCTTGGTTTTTGGCTGGTTCCGTATCTCTGATGTAATAAGCAAATGGAGCCCAGCAAGTCCCCTGTGTCTGTGTAGGATTTCCATTTTATAAATGCTGACCCAACATTCTTACGCAAGCCCCAGATGGAGTTTGGAAGTGTGATACTGACCAAGTTTTATTCTTGTCCATGAAGGTCATGTTCAGAAAGTTGTATTTTACTTCGTTTACAAAGCCCTCTATTATGCAGAAAGCATTTAGCCTAAACGTAACCCTGTGAAGCCAGCAGATTCATTATAGGAACCCAATGTCATTTCTAACAGCAGGCATCTGCTGGCCCCTCTTCCCCTCTGGGCACTGGACGGAGCTGTGCTGCCTTCATTCCTGGCTGTGGGTGATGTACCAAACTCTTCCTATCAAGTAAAAGTTGAGAAATTGAACCCTTTATAGTTGGAAATGAAATGACTTTACATACATCTTAACTTTTTATTTGCTGTGGGCAAAATGGATGTGATGCAGAGGATTGGCAGGTGGATGATAGTTTTAGGAGTAGCAAGGCTGGAGATCTCACTGGAGAAACAGATCAGTCCAAGCCTACACCAAGACAGTTCAGTTGTCACAGCAAGATGGACAATAGTGGTGCCGGGTACCTGCCTGTCCCCTCAACCCAGAACTCAAACCAAAGTGATTTTAGAAATGTAAGTGGAGTATAACTCTTGTTTTCTTTTAGAAATTGCTTTTTGAGCTGCCGTGCTTTTCTAGCCTGGCATTGAAAAATTGCAGATAGGCTCATAAAGTTTTGAGCTGGTAAACATTGTAACTAGCCTGTAAAATTTCCTTTTTTCCTTTCTACATAGTAAGTGGAGACAGAGCAGTAATCTGAGTGTTCCTCCTGTGACTTGCTTTGCATTGTTAAAACAAGGTCGCCCTTACCCGTAACGTTTCTCTAAAGTACCTTCAGCCTGGCATAATCACTTGGTCACATTCTGCTTGGAGTCATACTCAATCGTGTGTTGAGGAATGAATGTGTGGAGTGTATATTACCTTGCCTACCTGCGGTATAAGGTTTTTAATGGCTGTATTGATTTCTGCTTCATTTTTGTCCTTCCTTAGCTCATTACCTGCACATAGTAGGAGCTCAATAAATATCAGTGGGATGGACCTGAATTAGTGCTTGTACCTCCCATGTTGATCACATTATTCAGTAATAATTATAAAAGGAAAATGTATCATAGCAACTAAAAATGTAATTTCATTGAGTTTTTTAAAATTCTATTTTTATTTATTTTAATTATCTTTATTTGAAATGTGTTGTTTTACATGGATGCTATTTTTAAGTTAGGCTGTTTACCAGTGTGCTGCAACAAGAGGTATGGAAATTAAATTCCTTTTACTTTTAGTCAACTACATACAAGAGAATTGCCTGGTATTTGTGGGCAGAGCATGACTTTAATAGACTCCTTTTTTTTGTTGGTTTTTTTTTTTGTTTGTTTTTTTGAGACAGTCTCGTTGTTGTTGCCCAGGCTGGAGTGCAATGGTGAGATCTCAGCTCACTGCAACCTCCACCTCTAGGGTTCCAGCAATTTCCTGCCTCAGCCTCCTGAGTAGCTGAGATTACAGGTGACTGCCACCATGCCTGGCTAAGTAGAGACGGGGTTTTGCCATGTTGGTCAGGCTGGTCTTGAACCCCTGACCTCAGGTGATCCACCCACCCAGGCCTCCCAAAGTGCTGGGATTACAGGTGTGAGCCACTGTGCCTGGCCAATAGACTCCTTTCTAATAATTTTAAATTACTTGGGAAAACATATGATTTGGTGGCTTTAGATACATTTATTTTTACCTCTTGATTTGAGTAGAGAGCCACGTGTCCTGGAAATTCCACGAAGTGAATAAAAACTCTGTAGCAAAAAATGTGTTTGTACATTTTCAAAAGCCAGGATTATTCTTTTTTTTTTCCTATAATATTTCTATTTATTTTTTAAGTTTTGCTTTAGGTTCACGGGTACATGTGCAGGTTTGGGGTTATATAGGTAAACTGTGTGTCACGAGGGTTGGGGGTATGAAATATTTCATCACCCAGGTACTAAGCACAGCACCCAGCAGGTATTCTTTCGCTCCTTGCCCTCATGCCTCTCTCCTCCCTCAGGTGGACCCTTGAGTCTGCTGTTCTCTCTTTGTGACCTGGCGTACTCCATGTTTATCCCGCACTTTTAAGTTAGGATTATTCTTTTTTTTTTTTTTTTCTTTTGACGGAGTTTCGCTCTTGTTACCCAGGCTGGAGTGCAATGGTGCGATCTCTGCTCACCGCAACCTCCGCCTCCTGGGTTCAGGCAATTCTCCTGCCTCAGCCTCCTGAGTAGCTGGGATTACGGGCACGTGCCACCATGCCCAGCTAATTTTTTGTATCTTTAGTAGAGACGGGGTTTCACCATTTTGACCAGGATGGTCTCGATCTCTTGACCTCGTGATCCACCCGCCTCGGCCTCCCAAAGTGCTGGGATTACAGGCTTGAGCCACCGCGCCCGGCCAGTGAGGATTATTCTTAATAAAAATCAGCCTTTAGGTTTTAAGGTATAAGATCTTTGTATATGCTGACATTTTAATAGAGATGATCTGGTTTTGTTTTTTTGTACACAATAGTACAGGGAAACCCAAACATGAGTGGTTTCTCCAGAAAGATTCCGAAGGGGACACACCTTCACTTATCAACTGGCCTTCCAGGTACCCGCACGCTGGCCCTCCGGGGCCTGTGTTCACGAGTGCTGCTGCTTCCTGCTGTGCCATTCCACACATCAGCTAACGCCCACTCTCCTCCTGCCCTCTTTAATCCCAGTGCACTTGAAAATCATGTGGAAGTTACTTTCTAATCATTTGCTTTTCTCCTCCACATGCCCTAATCCGTGCTAATAGTATCTCTCCTCCTCTTTTTCCCTCTTTTTTGATTGACAAGCCTTTCACTTCACCTCTTGCTTTTCCCTTCTCACCAACTCACCTAGGACTGGACAGTGGGGGGTGGTAGTGAGCACCCAGCCTGGCCCTGGGCTGCTCTCCTGAGCTGGACTCCCTTCTGCTCAGCTCCCCATTACTCCCAGCCCTTCCTGCCTCCTTGTTTTATATCTCCTCATCTCTAAACCAGTACTTAATTTTCAACAGTTAATTTAGGGCATGTGGTTTCAAAAGCAAACAAAACCCCCTATCCTTTCATTTTTAAGACTGGGGGCAGGGAGAGGCGGAAGGAGTCAGAATGAGTAAGTCATGGAAGGACAAAGCTCCCCACACAGAGTTTCTAACAGTCACTTTGTTCTCCACTGAGGACAACATTCAGATTGTCTCTGATCATAAGCGTGCATTCCACAGGAGAACTGGAACCGCACTCCAGTCTCCTTTTGATTAACAAGGTTTTAAGTAAAAACCGCCAACACTGGCTCGTCTCTGGGAAAAATAGCAACTCAGAATGTTTCCTTTTCCTGAGTTGTTCTTAGTCACTACCTATACGTCCATCTATGTGGATTTTCCTTTAATGACGCATATATGGATACTCCATCTCTTATGTTAAAAATATATAGGAAGCCAGGTGCGGTGGCTCACGCCTGTAATCCCAGCACTTTGGGAGGCTGAGGCAGGCAGATCATGAGGTCAGGAGATCGAGACCATCCTGGCTAACATGGTGAAACCCAATCTCTACTAAAAATACAAAAATTAGCCAGGCGTGGTGGCACATGTCTATAGTCGCAACTACTCGGGAGGCTGAGGCAAGAGGACTGCTTGAACCCAGGAGGCAGAGGTTGCAGTTAGCTGAGATCGCACCACTGCAGTCCAGCCTGGGCCACAGAGTGAGACTCCATCTTAAAAAAAAAAAAAAAATACACACACACGCACACACACACACACGAGTTTGTATCAAATTAGGAGTTGCACTTGTCATTAAAGAAACTCATCTTTTCCTATACAGTGCACATCATACTTTTGCCAGTTAAGCTTAAGTAAGTAAAGGCTCTGCATTCCTCTTCCCCGAAGAAATCCCTTTTCCTACCCTAAAGCACTCTTTAAAGCTTAGCCCTAATCAGTGTTTCATTCTCAAGTAGTTGGAATTGTATCTCCTCTTTCACCATATGGTAAAAATAAGAACCAGTTAACACTATTCAATATTTATTCTCTGCTAAGCACTAAGCCATGTGCTTTGCAAACTCACATTGCATTATGTCACTATCATTTCCATTTAAAAGGTAAAGCAGCTGAGGCTTCCTAAGACCAGGTGAGTTCCCAACACTACACAGCTGGACCTGGCTGAGCAGGATCTGAACAGAGGTTCCCACCCCACAGCCAGAGCTCTTGGTTACTTTGTTTTGCTGTGATGGAAAAAGGTCTGTAACTTTTGGAAAGGGTGTCAGTTTTGCTCTCAGATAATTTGAATAACTAGAAACAACTAGAGCAATCTCTTTATTATTTGATTTTATTTTTGTGTTTTAGGGACAGAGTCTGTCTTTATTGCCAGGAGGAGTGCAGTGGTACAATCATAGCTCACTGCAGCCTCCAACTCCTGGATTCAAGTGGCCCTCCTGCCTCAGTCTCCTAAGTAGCTGGGACTACAGGCACAAGCCACGGCACCTAGCTATTGTTTTTTGCTTTTGTAGAGACTATATCTCACTATGTTGCCCAAACTAGTCTCCAACTCCTGGCCTCAAAAGATCCTCCTGCCCAGGCCTCCCAAAAGGTTGGGATTACAGGCATGAGCCAAATAACAGCAGGATGAGGGGACGATGGTGGGAAATGTTCACTTCATTAATTCTTTCAGCAAATATCTTGTCTCTAACATTCTTTTGGTGCTAGAATCTTTCATGATGATGCCCAAACTGGCCACACACTTTATGAATGAATGAAGGAATATGCTCTGCATTGCATGAAAAAAGCTTGTGAATGTCTAATTGAGTGCTTTAAAAGAGAGGTGATTGTTATATCTTGAACTAAAAAAAAAAAAAACATAAATAATGGTGAGTGCTCTTACATTTTCAGGACACAATGAACTTACGTTTGGTCAATAGGTGTCTGTATGCCAGGAACCTTCCCCACAGTCTGTGTTCTGGGCTGTGCATGAGGAAAGCTTCCCGATTCAAGGCACCAGCCTCACTGTGCCCTAGTGCATGCTGGTGGTGTGTGTTAATGCATTTTTCTCTGGCTTCTGGGTATTTATTTGGTCAGAAGGGACCCATTCTCCCCCAGATTAGCATCTGACCCCTGTCAGCTTTTACAAGGGGTTGAGTGAGTTTTGCACCCCCAGACATACATATGCAAATTGGAAACTCAACTCAGATCACCTGACAAGTAGTTGGTTTCTAATATTAGACACCAAGATGCTTTTTCACAGGTTATTCTCTCTTGGGGTCAGTTTCCATTCACTGGTACTCTGTGATCTGTGCATGATTCCCTCCTGTGAAGCCAGCCATTATTGCACTTTGCAACTTAAATCCTTTTTCTTTCTTAAAGAGTTAAAGTTAGAGAAAAAATGGTGAAAGAGGAAAGTGCTCGAAACAGCCTTGAATTCGCCTCAGAGTCCATAACTCAGAGGAGACACCGGCCCGCACCAGTCCATTACCTGCCGTTTCAATCCGAGCACTCGGCCTTTGATAGGGTCCCCAGCAAGGCAGCAGGCTCTGCACGACAGCCAATCCGTGGCTACGTGCAACCCGCAGATCCCGGCCACACCGCCAAGCTGGTGACGGCAGAACCCCCAGAACATGTATCTGAGTGCAGCTGGGTACCATCGGCCACCCAGAATATCCCCAAACCTCCCACCTTGAAGGTTCTAGAAGGTGAGAGAAGGGAGAGCCCAGTTCTCCATATCTGTGAGTCAAAAGCAGAAGAAGAACAAGAAGAGGAAGGAGAAGAAAAAGAAGAAGATGTGCTCTTCACTGAAGCTCTCAAGCAAAGCAAGAAAACCCTACTGGCTTTGGAGGGTGATGAGCTTGCGAGAAGCCTGGAAGATTCCACTGGAAATGAGGACTTTGGTAAGTCTGCTATGAGCACAGTCACCTTAGAGCATCAGAAGGAACTGGAAGGCATGGCGCACCCACCTCAAGCTCAGCACCAGCCCACTGAGGGGACAGGCAGGAGCGAGATGGTTCTCTACGTTCAAAGTGAGCCCGTGTCCCAAGACGCCAAACCATCCGGCCACAAGGAAGCCTTGATGAAAAATCGCAAGGTCCGCACCCGCTCTCTGTCAGATTTCACGGGCCCCCCTCACCTCCAGGCCTGGAAGTGTAAGGACCCAGCTTCCAGGAAAGAGCCGGAGCTGCCCAGCCCCAAGGCCGAAGGGCCCTATGGGGAGTTCGGCGTGCTGGACACAAAGGTCTCTGTTGCCCAGCTCCGAAGTATGTTCCTGGCATCTGCCAACGCTACCAGGACACCTGAACTGTAGGTGATGCTTCACATGCCCTCCAGCTGTGTCACTTGCACGTCACTGGCAGAATGACTCACTCCTGGACTTGTGTTGTGTTCTGCATTGAATCATACTAGCTTAGCTCACAGGTGTGTGCAGGGCAACTGTGCAGAAAATGGCTCAAAAACTACCACTCTGCTTCTGCCTACTAATGGGGAATAGCGGACTGGGTCTCCGGAATGCCCCCTTCCTTACGTGCATGGTAGAGGCATGAAGAGGGGTTTGGCGGTGTCTGTGTCTTGACTCTCGGAGATGCATAAACCTTTGCTGTCTTCTCTTTCTGTCTTCCTTTGCCTTCCGTATACGCTCTGCCCTTTGATTCTAAAAGCAAATCACGGGTGGAGAGGTCGGCCGAAGGACCTGGCTTGCCCACCAGTGTGGAACGGGAGAGAGGGTCCCGGAAACCAAGACGCTATTTTTCTCCTGGTGAAAGTAGAAAAACTTCCGAGAGATTTAGAACCCAACCTATAACTTCAGCAGAACGAAAGGAATCGGATAGGTAGGCGTGCATCTGTGCCATTTCCTAGTCCAGGAACGTGACAGCGACACGGGAGTGTCACACACTGACGGCCTTCACGCTGTTTATATAGGATGCTGGCCATTCCATGATTCTTCCATCCAATCTATAAGCGTTAGGAATTTGGCTTATTTAAAAGTCTTTTTAAAGAATGTCGGCCTTTACCGTGGTATTATGATACATACACAATTTCACATTGCACATCTTCAGAAGATGAGAAGAAATATTGTTTTCCTTCATTTCATGTTTTTAATGTTTTTTCCCCCTTGTTAAATTAGACTCCAGATTGCATATTCACCTGATTTTACAGTGAAAGTAACTGAATTTTATATTCATTTTATAAATGTCTGCCTACCTGTCGTATTTGCTTTATACTGAAGTGTCATACTCTGCTGTACAGAAGTGATGAGGATTGTGTAAACATTGTCCTCAGTGATGTGTAGTAAGTTGCACGTGTGCCTGGTCTCCCCACAAGGCGTGTCCTTGGCTGGGATTGTGTGCACACACGCTCCACCGTCTCACTTCACAACTGTGTGTGTGCGTTCACAACTAGAATGCTACCAGGAGGTTATGTCTTTAAAGAATGTAATTGCGCTTTTAGTTTGACCTTTAATATGATGCTTTATTTAATCTTCCGCTCCCACTTGCTGATTGATGGTGATTATTTGCTAATGTCTTTTTCAGGTGCACTTCACAGTCAGAAACGCCAACTATTGACGGCAAGTACCTTTTCCCCTCTTCTGCCCCTTCTCTGTTATCTCATCTAGACGGGATTTAGCAATACAATTTATGGCTTTATGAGAAAATAAGATGATAGAGCATACCAATGTCTCCCTTTGCTGCAGGCTTTCTTTCTGTGAAAGCTTTCTCTTCTTTTTGAGAGCAGTTAGAGAATCATGCAGTGACCAACAGAAAAACAGCTAATTCAAACCAAAGAGGCAGGTTCTTCTTGCTGCTGCTACTATTTAAAAATAAGGCCAGGCATGGTGGTTCATGCCTGTAATCCCAGCATTTTGGGAGGCCAAGGTGGGCAGATCATGAGGTCAGGATTTCGCTCCACATGGTTAGTTAGACTAACCAACATGGTGAAACCCTGTCTCTACTACAAATACAAAATAGCTGGACGTGGAGGCATGTGGCTGTAATCCCAGCTACTCAGGAAGCTGACACAGGAGAATCGCTTGAACCCAGGAGGCAGAGGTTGCAGTGAGCCGAGATTGTGCCACTGCACTCCAGCCTGGGTAACAGAGCAAGACTCCATCTCAAAAAAATAAAATAAAAGTAAGTAATATAAAAAAATGAAAGAATCCCCTCATAAATATATTCACGAAATCTCAATCAGACAAATGTTAGAGTAGCAATCCCTGGACAGAATTTGCTTTGGTTTGGCTTGGTTTGAATGCCAAGGGAAATTAGTACCTTTTCACTGAGGAGAAAGAATGGGCTCCCTGCAAGGGGAAACTACCACCAATTATTATTGTAGTTCACCTATTCTTGTATTCAGAGATTTCCAAGTCAGCCCTGGAAGACTTTTTGGAGACTGTACTTACCTTTTCTAATAATGTCCAGTTTTTAATTTGTGACTTTTTGCAGATGAAGAAAAAGTAGATGAACGAGCCAAGCTGAGCGTCGCTGCCAAGAGGCTGCTTTTCAGGGTAAGCTGTTCTATGTGCTTGAATAGAGATGATTACTGGGTGCAGTAATCCCAGCTACTTGAGAGAGAACAAGGCAGGAGGATCACTTGAGACCAGGAGTTCGAGACCAGCCTGGGCAACATAGTGAGACCCTGTCTCAAAAAAATAAAAATTGTAAGCCTTAGGGAGGGAGAATCTTGTGGACCCAGCCTGCTTCTTGCACCTTTGGGCATGGTAAGGCCTCCCAGCTCTGGCCCACCTGTGTTCTCTTCTTAGTCAGTCTTTGGCTGGTTGTGGCCACCTCACGGACACAGCATAAGTGTGCAGTTCTGACAATGATACAAGGCTCTCATTAGAGACCCCTCCTGTAGGTCCCGTAGGAGAACAGAGTAAAGACTTTTTACTGCCCCCATTTCCTTTCCTTAAATTTCTTTTTCATTTTTAAATTTTTTTTGGAGATAGGGTCTTACTCTATCACTCAGGCTGGAGTGCAGTGACATGATCATAGCTCACAGCAGCCTCAACCTCTCAGGCTTAAGTGATGTTCCCACCTCAGCCTCCCAAGTAGCTGGGACTACACACCTGTGCCAGTACGCCTGGATAATTTATGCATTTTTTGTAGAGATGGGTTCTCACTTTGTTGCCCAGGCTGATCTTGAACTCCTGGCCTCCAGCAATCTTCCCTCCTTGGCCTCCCAAAGTGCTGGGATTATAGGCATGAGCCACCATGTACAGCTGTTTCTTTGAATTTTTAAGGGTGTCACAATGTTTTTAATCGTAGGAGATGGAAAAATCTTTTGATGAACAAAATGTTCCAAAGCGACGCTCAAGAAACGCTGCTGTGGAGCAGAGGCTCCGCCGTCTGCAGGACAGGTCCCTCACACAGCCCATCACCACTGAGGAGGTGGTCATCGCGGCCACGTAAGTGCCCACAGGACTTCTCAGCCTTGGCTCTAATGTCTTTTTTAATACATTTAAAGAGTGTTCAATGAAAATGAGGCGTCGGGGAGGTGGTTTAGCTAGAAGCCACGGAGAAGTTAGTGCTAAGGGATTTTGTTTTCTGTGGTCTCTCTAAACTTTGTAATGGGATGTGTTATCTATTGTAGCTCCTGGAAAAACTTAAAAGGAGTTTTTGTTCTATTTTGGTTCTGTCTCTGCATATTGTTGTTTAAAAAATCTCTTTGACAATGGAAAATAGAAACATGACACTTAGCGGATTGCTGTGATGAAACCCCAGCTTCCAAAGTCACCCACTCCTGGCTGGACATGCTCAGCCTGTATCCCATTCATTTCCCCTTTCCTCCTGCGCTATTTTCAGGCAAACACTAGAGGTCTTATTATTTCATCCATAAATATCCAGTACACATTTTTTTTTTCTTGAGACAGAGTCTCGCTCTGTCGCCCAGGCTGGAGTGCAGTAGCAAGATCTTGGCTCACTGCAACCTCTGCCTCCTGGATTCAAGTGATTTTCCTGCCTCAGCCTCCTGAGCAGCTAGAACTACAGGTGTGTACCACCGCACCCACCTATTTTTTTGTATTTTTAGTAGAGACGGGGTTTCACCATATTGGCCATACTGGTATCAAATTCCTGACCTTGTGATCCACCTGCCTTGGCCTCTCAAAGTGCTGGGATTACAGGCATGAGCCACTGTGTCTGGCCCCCCAGTATGCATCTTAGTTAGGGGTTTGTTTTATTTTTAATAGCCAGAAATTTCTTTTCTTTCTTTCTTTTTCTTTTCTTTTTTTTTTTTTTTTTTTTTTTTTTGAGACAGAGTCTTACTCTGTCACTCAGCTGGAGTACAGTGGCACGATCTCAGCTCACTGCAACCTCCACTTCCCGGGTTCAAGTGATTCTCCAGCCTCTGCCTCCCAAGTAGCGGAGATTACAGGCATATGCCAATATACTCTGCTAATTTTTGTGTTTTTAGTAAAGATGGGATTTCACTGTGTTGGCCAGGCTGGTCTCGAACTCCTAACCTTAGGTGATCTGCCTGCCTCACCCTCCCAAAGTGCTAGGATTAATTGCCAGAAATTTCTAAAAATTAAATTGCTGTTTGATAACTTTCCAAACAACAGGAGGTTCATTTTGAGTAACATGTTTCAATATACTCAGCATTAATTTCCCAGAATAGTTCATTCAGAGATAATTGCTTCAATCAAGTGAAAAAGTTTATTATTTTGGGTTTTTTTTTGAGACGGTGTCTCACTCTGTCACTCAGGCTGGAGTGCAGTGAGCAATCTTGGATCACTCCAGGCTCGACCTCCTGGGCTTAACTGATCCTTCAACCTCAGTCTCCCAAGTAGCTGGGACTACAGGCGACACCACCACACCTGGCTAATTTTTGTAATTTTTGTAGAGATGGGGATTTGCCCTGTTTCCCAGGCTAGTCTCGAACTCCTGGGCTCAAGCAGTCCTCCCACCTCAGCCTCCCAAAGTGCTAGAAATACAGGCTGGACACTGATACTTTTAAAAAGTAGATTGAGGCCGGGTGCAGTAGCTCATGCCTGTAATCCCAGCACTTTGGGAGGCTCAAGCGGGTGATCACCTGAGGTCAGGAGTTCAAGACCAGCCTGGCCAACATGGTGTAATCCCTACAACATGGTGTAATCTCTACTAAAAATACAAAAAAAAAAAAAAAGTTAGCTGGGCACGGTGGCATACACCTATAAACCCAGCTACTTGGGAGGCTGAGGCCAGAGAATTGCTTGAACTAGGGAGGTGGAAGCTGCAGTGAGCTGAGATTGCACCACTGTATTCCAGCCTGGTCAACAGAGTGAGACTCTGTCCAAAAAAAAAACAAAAAAAAGATTGAAAGCAATATTCTAAAACACTGACATAATCTACTGATTTTTGGATGGCTATTTGCTTTTTTGAATTATTATTATTTTTTTTACACTGAGACATGTATTCTCAAGACAGAGTAAATCCTTTCCCAGCTCTGAACACCTATTCCTATTGCTTTGGGTAGCCACTGTCTCTTATTTCCTGAGTTTGTAATTGCTTTTCAAGTTCTTTTATGATTTTCCCCCCCAAAAGTAATTAGCAAAGAATTCCGTTAAAATTTTTGATTTAACGTTTCTGAGTTTAAAACGATGCTGTCCTTAATGCTTCTTTTCTTCTCTCTCCTTATGAATGTTTCCTCTTTGGCAATTGCTTGTAAAGTGAACCTATCCCTGCTTCGTGTTCTGAGGGCACCCACCCTGTAATGGCAAGACTTCCTAGCCCCACTGTAGCTAGGACCGCTGTGCAGCCTGCCAGGTACTGGACAGATACGGATGCATGTGGCACCCGGGGCACAGGTGCCGGCCAGCAGATGCATCACAAAGTCTGGAATGTCTGTTGTTGGTTTGACAAACAAGTCCGTGCCGTGAGTTGTTCCGGAATGCGTGACATTTTGTTTGTCATAGTGCAAGGTGCTGATAACTACATGCTGGCATGCATGGGAAACCCTTCCGTCTCTCTGCATATGTTATGTGTTAGAACTAGGGTCACACTAACTCACGTGTCTGGTTGCTTTGTTTCTGTTTTTCTTTTCATAATGTCATCCTCAAAAATTTTGTTCTTCATCTAAAATACTGTTATAGCACTTAAAAAAGACTAACAGAAACATGGGACATTGGCCAGGCACACACAGTGACTCCCGCCTGTAATTCCAGCATTTTGGGAGGCTGAGGCAGGCAGATCACAAGGTCAGAAGATAAATCAAGACCATCCTGGCCAACACGGTGAAACCCCGTTTCTACTAAAAATACAAAAATTAGCTAAGTGTGGTGGCCTCTGCCTAAAATCTCAGCTGCTTGGGAGGCTGAGGCAGGAGAATCACTGGAACCCAGGAGGCAGAGGTTGCAGTGAGCTGAGATTTCATCACTGCACTCCAGCCTGGCAACAGAGCAAGACTCCATCAAAAGAAAGAAAGAGAGAAAGAGACAGAGAGAGAGAGAGAGAGAGGAGAAAAGCAAAGAAAAGAAAAAAATGAAAGAAAGAAAGAGAGAGAACAGAAGAGAAGAGCAAAGAAAAGAAAAATAATGAGACATTATTATGATAAGACCCAGTCTTTTTCAAACACCTGTACACACAAATACATGTTGAAAACAATCCTTCCTCTTTCTCATTTATAGAGAGACAATGCCATTTTATTTGGGGACTGGGAAAATAACAATTTATTGTGTCTAAACGTAGATGTTTTACTATTGTGTTTTGGATTTTGGGGCTTTAAAATTATGTCCTTACACCAGGTCACATCCTTTCATTTTACTGTTATATGAGCCAAAACACAAAAGTTAAAAATAATGGCAGTGCAGGGGTAAAGCTGACAGACCCACAGCAGGGCCCTTCCGGGGAAGTGGGTTTCCCTGGCCTCCTGGTTACTGCACGAGGTCCGTGGAGGACTCTGAGGCTGAGGTGGCTTTTTTGTCACCAGCCTCACTATGGAGGAACACGGCTGAGGTGGCTTTTTTGTCACCAGCCTCACTATGGAGGAACACAGAGGCTGGCTGCTCTCTGGCCTGAGACAGCTGTGCATTGGGGACTCACTGGAGTCACGGCAGAATATCTCCCTTACTAGATCTGAGAATTGGATCGGTCAGGAGCAGAAGGTATATTGCATTAAAAACCTCTCAAAACAGTGACCGTGAAGACTTTAGGCTTTCCTTCTCTTCTAGCTGGAAGTTGGAGGGAGTGATTTGTTTGTTAACTAATTATGTATGTATGTATTTATTTTTAAGACAGAGTCTTGCTCTGTTGCCCAGGATTGATCACTGCTAACTGCAGCCTCAACCTCCCAGACTCAAGCAATTCTCCCACCTCAGCCCCCCAAGTAGCTGGGACCACAGGTGCACACCGCAAGCCTGGCTAATTTTTATATTTCTGGTAGAGATGGGGTTTCACATTGTTGCCTTGGCTGGTCTCCAGCTCCTAAATTCAAGTGATCCTCTTGCCTTGGCCTTCCGTAGGTGTGAGCCACCGTACCCAGCTGGTGGGAGGGATTTATAATCCACTGACACTTTCTTTACTCCCTGGTTACTGGAAATTGCAGATTTAAGTACCTTTTAGAAAACTGGTAGGAACCTATGAGAATAAATGCTAAGCTGAAGCAGTGACTTTTTAAAAATTAAGCCATTCGTCTTTAGCAAGTGACAATCAAGACCTTCTGTTATTATGCAGTTGACAGAAGACCATATTGTTTCCTAATTGTTTACAATGAAAGACCACCTTCAGAACACATCTTCAGATGATGTCTAAATGCACATAGGTAATGCTATGCGACTCCCTTTCGTTCTCTTTATTGTGATACTAACAATGCCACCTCTCTGTCTAAGATAAGGTGTAGCCAAGCTGACTTCTGTGTCTCAAATAGGAAATTTGTTTTGTAGAAATAATTTAGAGCTAAAAGTCTGCTGTTCATAGAAGTGGCAACGCTAAGTGTCCTGTGCCGACTCTGCTTGTTGAATAGCTGAACGGCTGCCTGCCTCTGTCCTAGATGTGATTAGGGCAAAAGAAGCCCTTTGCGAAACGAAGCGACACTTGGCAGAAAGTGAACATGGAAACTTAGCGGTGGGCTTTTGTTTGTTGGTATCTGTGTTGCTGATATTTTATTTCTTTCAGATTACAGGCCTCTGCTCACCAAAAGGCGTTAGCCAAAGACCAGACAAATGAGGGCAAAGAGCTGGCTGAGCAAGGAGAACCTGATTCCTCCACTCTAAGCTTAGCTGAGAAGTTGGCCTTGTTTAATAAATTGTCCCAGCCTGTCTCAAAAGCGATTTCTACGCGGAACAGAATTGATACGAGACAGAGGAGAATGAACTCTCGCTATCAAACTCAGCCCGTCACGCTGGGAGAGGTGGCGCAGGTGGGTGCGTTGCAGTCTGATTAGTTTGTGTCCGTGTTCTTAAATCGTCGCCCTGCAGTGCTCCTCTGCGGTTAATGACGTCATTAAGGTGCTCTACCCGGAAACTGCTACCTGCGGGTGATTTGGTAATAACCTTCTTCCTAAAAACGATAACCCTGCCAAGCATGTTCCTCTTTTCTTGTTTTCATACTTTGCTGAAATATCTAGAATGAGTCCATTTTGGAGAGAAAAAAAAAATAGTATCCACAACTGCCTTTTGCCCAGAGGATTTCGTTTAATGAGACTTATTATGTAACTATGTCCAGGAGTGGTTTTCCTCTAAGAGAAACAGTGAAACTGCATCAAATTGAGTATTTCAGCTTCTGTCAATTCATAAGCCAGGATTTCTATAGACGATGTTTTACAAGCAGCTTCTTCCTTTTTAACTGTGTCCTTCCAGGTGCAGAGTGGAAAGCTCATTCCTTTCTCGCCTACTGTGAACACATCGGTGTCTACTGTAGCATCCACGGTTGCCCCAATGTATGCCGGGGATCTTCGCACAAAGCCACCTCTTGATGACAATGCAAGTGCCACTGACTATAAGTTTTCTTCTTCGACGGAAAATCCAGACTCTCCAGTTAGAAGCATTCTAAAGTCGCCAGCTTGGCAGCCCTTGGTAGAGAGTAGCGGGAACAAGGGAATGTTGAGAGAATATGGAGAGACGGAAAGCAAGAGAGCTTCGACAGGTCAAGACAGCGGGATGGAGAAGTATGGGTCCTTTGAGGAAGAAGCATCCTACCCCATCCTGAACAGAGCCAGGGAAGGAGACAGCCATAAGGAAACTAAATATGCCGTCCCCAGGAAAGGAAGCCTGGAACGGGTGAATCCTCTTATCACTCACCTTGAGGATGAACCAAAGGAATTTTCTGTGGCTAAAACAAGTGCACAAGGAAACTTGGACTTGAGAGACAGGCTGCCCTTTGAAGAGAAGGTGGAGGTGGAGAATGTTATGAAAAGGAAGTTTTCACTAAGAGGTAAATGACTAGTGCTCCTAAAGCTTTGGAAAGCAACTGGGTTTTAGCTTCTGCTTAATTTGTCCCATGTGTCTGTGATTGCTTTTAACAAAGTTCTAAAGGCAGTTTACAGCTAAATAATGGTTAAAAGTTCAGTGGGAATCAGGCCAGGCACATGGCTCATGCCTGTAACCCCAGCCCTTTGAGAGGCTGAGGTCGGTAGATCACGTAGTCAGGAGTTCGAGACCAGCCTGGCCACATGCGGAAACCCCATCTAGACAGGCATGGTGGTGCATGCCTGTAGTTCCAGCTACTCTGGAGGCTGAGGCAGGAGAATTGCTTGAACCCAGGAGGTGGAAGTTGTGGTGAGCAGAGATCACACCATTGCACTCCAGCCTGGGCAATAGAGCAAGACTCTTTATCAAAGAAAAAAAAAAGCTCAATGGGAATTCTGTTCTCCCCTGAGTCTGACTAGAGAGTGCATCAAGTTTTCAGCAATAAAACTACGGAAGCGCTTTCATGCATCTTGATAGGATTTCTATTGACTTTGGTCACTCACACAATGGCCTTCTGAGCTGCTTAACTCCGCTGGCCCCTTTTAGAAATTGATGACCCCAAAGATGTAGGCTGGGTAAGCACAAGGAATTAAGGAAGGACTTGACCCCAGTCTCTGAATCGCTAGAGTGTTCCTTCCTGCACACGTGTTTTGCAGGCTAGCAAGCCCACTGAGTGGGCCTTTCACCGTCTAAGTTTGCATGAAACAGGACAGTGTCAGCTATAATAAAGGGTTTGGTTTGTGAGTACAGCACATTTGAATGTTAAAGTATTGTTTTGGAGACTAGAACCGTTCTGGAGTGAATAAAGCTGACTTCCTGTGTCTCACACCAATTGCCACGAAGCATTTTGCTGTGTGGGGACCCTCTGGGGAGTGTGGTTTTCCCACACAGTGTAGCGTGCTGCAGATTTGCATAAATCCCAGCGGATTGGGTCACCCGCCGCGCGCCCACGGGTTGAACTCCGAGAGCTGAGCTGTTGAGGGCGAATCGCTGGAAGAACGTTCCCCTGAGGAGTTCAGTGCTGATGTTGCTCTTTCCCTTCCCAGCGGCAGAGTTCGGGGAGCCGGCTTCCGAGCAGACGGGGGCAGCTGCTGGGAAAACTGTGGCCCAACCCGCAGGCCCCGCGTCCTGGAAGCCCCAGGATTCTTCGGAACAGCCACAGGAGAGGCTCTGCAGGAATCCGTGTGCGATGTTTGCTGCTGGAGAGATCAGAACGCCGACGGGGGAGGGCCTTTCCGACTCACCCAGCAAAACCATGTCTATTAAAGAAAGGTAATGAGACTCAGGGAGCGAAAAGTGAATCCCTCGGGGAGGAGCTCACAGCTTGCTTTTAGAAAGCGATCTGGGTGGTGGGCAAAGAGATGAAATCACATATTCCCCTTCTAAGGGGCTGAGCTGTTATCCTGGAGTAATTCCGAGAAGCCGAGGTGTTTGCAAGTGAACTGCCTTTGCTCCTGAGCCTGGTTTGGTAATGAAGACAGGGCGGGTTCCAGACTCAGATGAGGAAACAAACAGAAACAAACTTTCTGCTTTATTTGTATGTTTCCATTGTCCCAATATCTTTTATAATATTAAATTATTGGCTTATCTAGTGACAGGAGCTGAGATCTCGGCTCTTTCCCTTTTAGATACACAGGGTCCATAGTGAATGCACAAACCACTTGTGACTTTGTGTAAAATATGTGTAGAGGGAATGAAGATAAATTGACATACAGGGCATACATCTTTGGGCTTAGAATCCAACTTTTGTTTCCTTTACAGAAAATAAAATGGATGACTTTTCTGAACTGCATTTAGAAAGTTTATATCAGGTAATAATAGCTTGAAAGATTCCGTTTGAGCATCAAATAACACAGTAGCCTCATTTCTTTCAAAGAATGATGCAGGATGCAGAGGAATATATTTAAATGAGACAGCTACAGAGAACTGGAAGTAGATTACCTTGGGAATGTGTTTTCCTTGTTAGCCTTTAACTATCGATGAATTAAGCAGCAAAACATGCAATAGTGGGAATAAATGCAGAGTTTGATAGCAGAGTAGGGTGACAAGATAAAAAGTATTGTACTCAAGTGACAGAGATCCTAAGTACAGACTTGATCGCTATGCATTACATATGTGTAACAAAATTTCTCATGCACCACACCACATAAATTTGTACAAAAAAGAAGAAAGTCTTCAATAGGAAAAAAAAACATGATGGAATAGTGATAGGAAAACTGGGTGAAGAAAAGTCTTGTCAACTCCAGAGAATAATTAGGAGAAGCATTTCCATCTCCTGTCCCCGCAGTTCTGACAGCTTCCGCCCTCCCTCAGCAGCTGCCACCACGCAGAAGCCTGCATGCTTTGTTAGACGCTGACCACGCTTATTTTCCTAGATATGTTTCAAACTGCCTAAGACTATACCAAACCACAATGAAAAGTCTTCAATTGTTTTTTCCTTTTTCCTTTTTTTTTTTTTTTTTTTTGAGACAGAGTCTCACTCTGTCGCCCAGGCAGGAGTGCAGTGGTGCAAACTCTGCTCACTGCAACCTCCACCTCCCAGGTTCAAGGGATTCTCCTGCCTCAGCCTCCCAAGTAGCTGGAGTGACAGACGCATGCCACGATGCCTGGCTAATTTTTTGCATTTTTAGTAGAGATGGGTTTTCACTGTCTTAGCCACGATGATCTCCATCTCCTGACCTCGTGATCTACCCTCCTCGGCCTCCCAAAGTGCTGGGATTACAGGCATGAGCCACCACACCCAGCCCCCTCTTTCTCTCTCTTTCTTTTTTTTTTTTCCCAGAGGCATAGTCTTCCTCTGTTCCCCAGGCTAGAGGGCAGTGGTGCTATCACAGCTCACTGCAGCCTCGAACTCCTGGGCTCAAGTGATCCTCCTGTCTTAGCCTCCCCAGTAGCTAGGACTACAGACCTGTACCATCATGCCTGGCTAATTTTTTCAAAAAGACTTTTTGTAGAGTTGGGAGATCTCACCATGTTGCCCAGGCTGGTCTCGAACTCCTGGCCTCAAGTAGTTCTTCTACCTCAGCCTTCCAAAGTGCAGGGATTACAGACATGCACCACCATGCCTGGACCATCTTTCTAGTTTTAAGCCAAGCTTCTTGAATATTATTTGTAAAATAATAGATGGCATCTTTTTCAACTGACAAATTAATAAGATTGTTAAATCTGAGTTCATGGTAAGTTAGACCTGGTAGGCTGAGGGGCAGAGGGAGGGCAGAGGGGTCAGTGCAGTGAGGAGAGGGATGTCTTCAACCAGGGAAGCAGTTGGGCCTATTGAAGTTTGAAGTTCTCTTCCATGAAAATGGGACTCAAAGAGAGTTTCATCCTAGAAAACTAAGTATTGGTAACTAGTTAGGTGAGGAGGAAGAGAAATCATTTAAGGAAATTAACAATAAATATCACTTATGCACAAGTTCTGATGTTTTATACATGAGGAGATATCTCTGGGGTATTCCCCAGTGGGAAATAACTCATATCATGCCCCCTTCTTTCAAAGGCTTTTAAAGGAGCCTCCCCATGTTTGGGTATTTTCTGTCAGTAGGGACTTGGACTTTTGATGGAGGAGCCCTGTATCTGTCCACTAAGCCATAATTCCTGATGCACTTGCCTGTTTTTTGATAAATTTGAGTTGATCTGTATCTTTCTGAAAGTTTTAATCCTACTGTAAAATTCTCATGTTTAAACTGAGACATGGGAAGCTGCGGATTCTTAGCTTGGGCTTTGTGGACATCTAAGGCCTTCAAGGATGGCTGGAAAGCATCTGTGACCGGCGTGGAAGTGTGTTGAGAATTGGATGTGTGAGTGCACACCTGCTGGCCGGCAGAGGCCACAACTTACCATGGTCTTCAGGAGATCCCTGAGCCCGGTCTGTTCAGAATCATGGTAGAAAGGAACACTTGATGGATATTCAGCTATTCAGTTTGTTAAAATACGTTTAAGAAAGGACGTGGGGGCTGGGGCCAGTGGCTTACGCCTGTAATCCCAGCACTTTGGGAGGCCGAAGCGGGCGGATCACAAGGTCAAAAGATCAAGACCATCCTGGCAAACATGGTGAAACCCCGTCTCTACTAAAAAATACAAAAATTAGCTGGGTGTGGTGGCATGCGCCTGTAGTCCCAGCTACTCAAGAGGCTGAGGCGGGAGAATTGCTTGAACCCGGGAGGCAGAGGTTGCAGTGAGCCGAGATCGTGCCATTGCACTCCAAAAAAAAAAAAGGACGAGGGACACTTTATTTAGCAGCTATGTTTGTAATAAATTACACTGACACAAAATACATTGCCAGTGATCTTTTCCCCCTTACCTCGACGGCACTTTTATTTGTACTTTGCTGAAAATAACTGAATTACATATATTTCCAATTCATTCATGTTAGCTTTGCCCTGAATGAGACTTTAATCCCTCACTTTTGTGAAAATGGAATAATGAAGCTTAAACTAATTAAAATAAGAATGTTATTCCTTATTCTCATATTTATTTGGACTTTACTTGCTTTTTTGAGAAAGAAATATATAAAATCATAGGACTTCCAAACCTTATTCTAACTGCCTCTGACTGCCTCATTTTACCAAAGGAGGAATTTAGCTCTGGGAGCCTCCAGGACCACGTAGTGAATAGAACTGACCTAGGGGCCATGTCTCCAACTCTCCCCTGGTTCATCGCAAGACCAGGATATGCTCAGATTAGTGTTAGGGCAGCCAACTTCGTGTCTTCTAACCAGGAGAATACGGTAAAGACAGATAGTCCAGCTAGACAGCAGCTTTAGAAAGACATACCGTCTTTTTTCATGAATTTTCTCAGTTCACAGGTTCCTAACATGGCTTATTTCAAATTACACATCTACGTGCACATTTCAGTGTCTAAGAAATAGAGCCTGGGATTTACAGGTTTCCTTCATGCTTTTTTATAAATGACTGTGCCTGCGAAGGAGGACAGGTCTCTCTTCAGCCTTGTTGTGTCCGTCTCTCCCCTGTCTGGGGCCTGAATACATTGAGTTCTCCATGCTCAGTGCTACCAGAGTCACAGACGGCCTTCTGCATTTTGGGCATGTTACCTCATTTAATTTTTATTTTTATGTTTATTTTTTGACACAGAGTCTCACTCTGTCGTTCAGGCTGAAGTTCAGAGGCAGGATCTTGGCTCACTGCAACCTCTGCCTCCCAGGTTCAAGGGATTCTCCTGCCTCAGCTTCCTGAGTAGCTGGGATTACAGGCACCTACCACCATGCCCAGCTAACTTTTGTATTTTTAGTAGAGACAGGGTTTTGCCATGTTGGCCAGGCTGGTCTCGAATGCCTGAACTCAGGTGATTTGCCTGTCTCAGCCTCCCAAAGTGCTGGGATTAGGCGTGAGCCACTGTGCCCGACCTAAAAAGTTATTTATTTGTTTGTTTGTTTATTTATTTTCTGAGATGGAGTCTCACTCTGTCACCCAGGCTAGAGTGCAATGCCACAATTTCAGCTCACTATAGCCTCTGCCTCCCAGGTTCAAGTGATTCTCCTGCCTCAGCCTCCAGAGTAGCTGGCATTACAGGCATGCGCCACCACGCGTGGCTAATTTTTTATATTTTTAGTAGAGATGGAGTTTCTCCATGTTGGTCAGGATGGTCTTGAACTCCTGACCTTAGGTGATCTTCCCGCCTCGGCCTCCCAAAGCACTGGGATTACAGGCATGAGCCACTGTACCCAACCCTTTTTTAAAAAAATATTTTCTGGCATTGAGAATGTCAAATTTGAACCATAACCAGCATAAAATTTAGGATGCAGTCGACTTTTCCCATTGGGTTAGGAAAATCGGTATTTTCTTGAACTCCCTAACTCAGGTGATCTGTCCACCCTGGCCTCCAAAGTGCTTGGATTACAGGCGTGAGCCACCACGCCCAGCCTGAAAATCGCTATTTTCTAACTGTCCACAAGATGTGTGTTTAAATTGTCCCTGTTTGGGAACTTGTTTGAGAAGCGTTGTGAATTAAATAATTCTTACCTTATTTAGAGATAAAACCTTTGCTATTGCTTAAAGCATACCTTAGGCCTTTAGAAATCTTACTTATTTCCACAACGTCAGAAACAGTGGCATCCGAGCTTTCATATTTGGGGAAGAAGACTATCGGAAAAGAAAAACAGAGCCATCCTTCACTTTGAGAAACTGGTGGCATGTAAGGACTTAGTGGAACTCCATGAACTGCTGCAGAATCCACCTCACCTCTGTGGAGTTCTGCCCTAGGGGGACTGGCTGGAGGCTTCTGTGTTTCCTGCATGCCCGCCCCGCCCCCACCATCTACCCTTCTGTACCCGACCCAGCCAGAGGCTGTCTCCCTGTCTCTTCCACAAACTCCAGGTTCTTAGCCACTAGAGGGCCCCAGATCTAAGTGGGAATAGGAATAAAGATGTAACTCCCCTTTACTCCCTCCTTTTCTTTTCCTTTCTTTCTTTCTTATTAATTTTTCTAGGCAGGGTCTTGCTCTTTTGCCCAGGCTGGAGGGCAGTGGTGTGACCATAGCTCCCTGAAGCCTCCTGGGACTCTAGTGATCCTCCCACTTCAGCCTTCCAAGGAGCTGCGACTAGAGGCACATACCACCATGCTCAGCTGACTTTTTACTTTTACTTTTTATTTGTTTGTAGAGACAGAATCTTGCTCTGTGGCCCAGGCTGGTCTCTACCTCCTGGCCTCAAGCAATCCTCCCACCTCAGCCACCCAAGGTGCTGGATTACAGGTGTGACCCAGTATGCCTGGACCTCCTTTTCCAGTGTTTGATTTGTCTCTCATTTAAAATACACTTTGATTCATTCACTTCTCAGACTTGTGACCCAGCTAGGAGCATGATGTAATATAATATAAGTACTTATGTGTGCGTTTCAGCCCTAACTGAGATCTATGAGGTGCCTGCAATTCTCTAAAATGAAGGGAAAAATCTGAAAAGAGAGGGAAAGCACACCTTATTTAGTATTAGGGGCACATGTCGTGCCTCCTGTTTGACCCAGCCCAGACGGCTCTGAGCCTGAAGTCCTTGTTCCCAGCAAGCAGCGCTCTCAGGCCAGCATTCCCTGCAGAATCGTGTGGGCTGTGGAAGGGGAGGAGCCGCTCCCCAGGTGGTCTGGCAGGCACCTGTCATGGTGGCCCTGGGCCAGGCTTCGGTGACTAAGCCAGTGTCGTGTGTCTCTCTGGGTTCGCACAGCCCCAGGCCAAGCTGCTGCCCAGGCTCCCAGCACCACAGTCCTGCAAACAGCACTTGGCCTTGGCAGTTGTGAAAAGCGCTGACAGCTGTTTGAATTGCACCGGCAGGAATTTATGTCCTGCACAGACCCAGACATTGGCTCCTCGACCTCCTCAGAGCCTGACAGTCTGCGGTGAGTGGAAGCGCCGTGAGCTCACAGGAGGAAGGAACATGTTTGGGAAGATCTCCCGCCCTCCTCAGTGCGGGGGACACCAACGAGGAAATCTAAAAGGGACAGGAAGAACACATTCAAGCTCTAGTGCGTGTTACTTTCAAGTTACTCGTCATGCACTCTGGAGGCTATGGGCTCAGGCTGGCTACAAGGGCCATGTGGGTCCCACGAAAGCCCAGTCTCTTCCACAATATTCCGGTTATGCTGTAGTCTTCGGGAGTCCCTAATGGTGACCCTGCCAGCACATGTAGAAGCAGAATTTCAGGGTTTGGAATGGAGGAATTCTTTGGCAGCCATCCCATGGTGGGAACCACCTAAGAAAGCCAGAATCCTATGCCCTTCCTAAAACGGTACGGCAAAAATGTGTCTGGTCAGCTGATGTTCTGCTGCAGTGAAACAGGCTAAGCACAGGCAGGCAAGGGTCGTGGTCACGTCTCTCTGCCCACTACCAAACAGTGTGACCTCAGTCAGTGGAATTCCTGACCCGGATGTGCTCATGCCCTTGTCCGTCAGAAATGGGAATAACAATTTCCAATACATTAGGGGTCGCCGTGCAGATCAGCAGAGTATAAGGTGGACGAGGCAGTGACCTCAGATGCCACAGCTCGTGTTTTTCTCAGTCAGTTTTAGATGCCGCAAAGCAACCAACCAGGGAAACTATCCAATGATGCAGGTGCTGGTGTCCTTGCCCCAGACTTCTGAGAACTTCTTTTTGAGAACATCTTCAAAGACTGGAGCTCGTGACTTTCAATAAACTCAACTCATGAAGTTGAATTTCATTTTTTTAAAATTCATCATTTGAATCCAATCTGATTAACAAGGTGGATGGTCAAGAGGAGTAACTGCTGGTCTGGGTCGAAGGTGAAGTGAGTGAAGCTGGTCCTGAGGCCAGTTTGCAAGGAGAGTATCAATGAGATGAGTGTCTGGCTCCACAGGACGATGGACTGGAAAGGATTCTTCACTGGGGGATTGAAGTGCTGGCATGCTTACTTTGTGAAAGTCCCGTTCGTTGATGCTTTGAAAGCTCAAATACAGCATGCAAATATGAATTTCTTTTAATGATTTTATTTTGTGAGATTCTTTTATTAGAATAAAACTGACTCATTCAAAATAATTGGAGAAAAGATGAGTCATGGTCATTATATATAGTATAAAATGATGCGGATTAAAACACTTACAGGAATCTAGATTTTATGTCCAAGCCCATGAACTAGCCCTTGTAGCATGCAGGGTGCTGTTAAACATTCAGGAATTACAGGAGTTAGGACCAAAGGAGACCTTGACCCAGATGGGCTCTGCGTGAAACTGATAAGGCAGCCTCACCACAGTTCTTGAGAACGCGCACTTGAGGTCTTATCTGCTGCCCCTTAGTAGAAGGAGGAAAGCAGAAAGGAAGGGAGAAGAAGGAAGAGACTGAGGAAGGGGACAGGTCCAGAGCTCGAAGCTCTGGCCTTTTTTTTTTCATGGCTTACTTTCCGTTATTTGACTGAGTAAATAGACAAGTACTGGCATAATTGTGTACACGTATGTAGATGCCCCTGGATTCTTGTTTAAGTTCTACAAAATTTGTTTTCCTATTAGCACAACAAAACTTTTATCATAGGAGATATCTGATCTCATCTAATCTCCAAAACAACTATTTAATGGGAATAGGGAAGCTTGGAAGAAGGGCCCTAAGAGATCACCTGGTTCAGTTCCTCATGTGACAGATACGGGAGGGAGAACTGAGGTACTCAAAGAGAGGTGGTGGCCAAACTGGGACCAGAGCTGATGTGCTGCTTAAAAATACACTGTTATCTAGGCACGGTGGCTCACACCTGTAATCCCAGCACTTTGGGAGGCCAAGGCAGGGGGTTGCTTGAGGTCAGGAGTTCAAAACTAGCTTGGGCAATATAGCAAGACCCTGTCTCTACTAAATAAAAAATTTTTAAAACTAACCAGGCACAGTGATGCACACCTGTAGTCCTAGCTACTCTGGAGGCTGAGGCAGGAGAGTCACTTGAGCCCAGGAACTTGAGGCTGCAGCGAGCTATGACTGTGCCACTGCACTCCAGCCTGGTGACAAAGGAAGACCCTGACTCTAAAACAAATTTATAAAAATAAAATATACAGGCCGGGCACGATGGCTTATACCTGTAATCCCAGCACTTTGGGAGGCCGAGGCACGTGGATCACGAGGTCAGGAGTTCGAGATAAGCCTGGCCAGTATGGCAAAACCCTGTCTCTACTAAAAATACAAAAAAATAGCCGGGCATGGTAGTATGTGCCTGTAGTCCCAGCTAATTGGGAGGCTGAGGCAGAAGAATTGCTTGAACCCAGGAGGTGGAAGTTGCAGTGAGCCAAGATCGTGCCACTGCACTCTAGCCTGGGCAACAGAGTGTGACTCTGTCTCAAAAATAAAAATTAAATTAAAAATACACATTTATGGATTATGCATTAGTGATATTTAGAAGACCTGGCCCATCAGGTCCAGCACAGAGGGAATGGGTGGACATTTGTTTTTTCCCTCATCTTTACATTGTTTGAGCTTCAGCTCAGATGAATTTAATGATCACCACCTTTTTTTTTTTTTTACCTTTTATCTTTTCTGTGTTTGTCCAATGCAAATGCCTAAGATGTCTTCAATCACGTGGATACAGTTAGCCGAAACAGACTCATGTTTGTGAAAAATAACCTTTCAGCCACCCAGTGTTCCAGCAGCTTCCTATCAAGTCGCATGTCACTGAACTAAAGTAGGTTAGGTAACAACCTCCGTTAATTAGATTCTTTTTTGGTGTATATCATTCCCTGAGGAAAGTTCAAATGATAATTTTTTAAAAATGGGTTTGTAGAAAATAGTTCTGTCTAAAGAAGACGGATAAGAAAGATAACATTCATTTATAGGAAAAGAACAGAGCTTAGGACGCCTGAGGAGAAATAGTCATGAACATCAAATTTTACCTCTAATTGGAAGGGGTGATATTAAGAGATGGTAGGTGCTTCATGGTTTCTGTTTTAAGCCCACGTCTTCATTATTCTCTGTAACACAGCTTTAGTCCTTTAATGTTATTTCACTGAGTGACCAGAAGGCGTCGCTAGAAGACATTTTTCTCTGGGGACGGTTCTCTTGCTCTCAGCCCAAGGGCAAGGGAAAAACAGACATTCCTTGGCTGGGATGATGGTGCATCTTTTTTTTTTTTTTTTTTTTTTTTGAGACGGAGTTTTGCTCTTGTTACCCAGGCTGGAGTGCAATGGCGCGATCTCGGCTCACCACAACCTCCCCCTCCTTGGTTCAGGCAATTCTCCTGCCTCAGCCTCCTGAGTAGCTGGGATTACAGGCACGCGCCACCATGCCCAGCTAATTTTTTGTATTTTTAGTAGAGACGGGGTTTCACCATGTTGACCAGGATGGTCTCAATCTCCTGACCTCATGATTCACCCGCCTCAGCCTCCCAAAGTGCTGGGATTACAGGCTTGAGCCACTGCGCCCGGCCCTGATGGTGCGTCTTTTATCTAGCAAGTCAGACTTTGGCTCTGTGTTTCAATCAGCTGTAAAATCTCAGGGCCATCGTAGAGAAGGGACTTTATTATTTTTCCAGACATGTTGTCTTCAGAATACATGAAATTCAAAATGTTAAAATGAGGTGGCTGTGGTCACATCTTGGCCAAAGGCATCTCACTTACTGAGATTATGGCTCTATCACAAGGAAGAGCTTGGTGTGAACTCTTTGTGACTGGCATGTTTCCCTCCTAGATTGGCACTGTTGAAGAAAAGCGGGGAGGAAGATTGGAGAAACAGACTCAGCAGGAAGCAGGAGGGTGGGAAGGCGCCGGCCAGCAGCCTGCACACCCAGGAGGCGGGGCGGTCCCTCATCAAGAAGGTAACATTCCCTGTGTTTGCAAAGCATTTGGACTAACGTCACTCCTGGAAGTGCATCAGAGAGACACGCATGTGCCACCTGATTCCTGCTCTGTGAAGCATTTGTGTGTTTTGCTCTTGGGATACACACTGAGGGTCTGTCACAGGGCACCTGAAACTGGGCAGGAGGCTGAGCCTTGAGCTGCTTTAGAACTGGGGTCAGCGACACATACACACGGTGTCAGCAAGCAAGTGCCTGAAGGTTAAAGTGTGTACTTTTTCCTCAGTTTAAACCCCTTCGTAAATGAAGTCTGGCTTTAGAACGTTATTAAAGCCTTTATAATGAAAGAAATGGAATTCACCACTAATATCTTTAAGTTGCATGTAAAATATGCAGAGATGTTAACCCTAAGTATAAAAAGTAAGGACATAATTGTGGTTCACGGGTATTTAGTTCATTTTAAGCGTGTTTCATGAGTAGCTCTGCTGTTTATTGAGAATGTACAGTAATGTATGTTATAAATTGAAACAAAATTAAGTAATGCGTGGTGATTCATGCTAGCAGCATTTCCTATGCGTGAGTATTGATGAGCCGTTAAATTACAGACATGATGACAGCCGGCTTTTGACAGGCAGTGCGCACTTTCATAACTGATGGTGGCTTACTTTTTGGCCGGCCCTACAGTTGCAAATGCCCCTCCTGGCTGGAGGTGAAATGGTGCAGCAGTGATGCGCTCCCTGGCCACTTTCTAGACCCGGAAGTCTTCAAGTAGAAAAGAAAAAGAGTGCTTTCAACAGCTGATCCCCAGACCCCTGTTAGCTCAAAAATAAGTTAAGCATCTGTGGAAGGATGAGATGATGAGTGTGACTTTCATGCATTAAGAAACTGACATACAAATGAGGTGTGCACGTAAAGTGTGAGTCAGGAGTTCTGGCGCTATTTCATCTGATACTTCCGTGTCTTCATAGGTTACATTGGAACAGCAATTTGAATTCTCTTCTTTGAGACATACATGGTGTTAAAGATGATATAACTAAAACCATTTAACCTCAGCCATTTTAAAGTTCTCAAATATAACTAGATATTTAGAAAGTATATGCATGCACGTATTTTTCACCCACCATGTGAAACTCACATTTCAAAAAGGAGACCCTGAAGTGAAAGAAAACTGTGTCTGAAATAATGCGTCCCCACCCCACAAACTATTTAAAAGAGTCTTGAAATCATTGCTTTAAAAACGACTTTGACACGTTCCCCATAAGCAAACCTGCCGACTACCATGTCCTGGCATCAAGCAGCACCTGGCCCCTGGGCCATCATTTTGAAAGGTGCAGAGACCCCCCTGCCCATCAAGAGCTGGGAGTCCCAGAGAGCCAAGTGGAAATTTAAATGAAGCCGAAAAGCACAAAGCAGGAGAGGTTCCTGGTGAATAGTGAAATAGGTGCCCACCCACTTAGAATGGAGGGTCACCTTAGGTGTGGAAGCCAGAACTCCCATGCTTCCTCGGTGGCCTGGTTGCCTTGGCTGGAGACAGTGAGCTCTTTGAAGTTAAAATAAGAAGGTCTGTTTGAGGCCTCTGTAGCCCACACTGGGCAATCTCAGGTTCTGCTGAGGTCAGGTGTTTCTCAGGCAGCCTCTGGCAACCCCTGATTCATTCCTTCCCAAGGGCTGGCAGTGTTTTCAGTCACCCGCTGGCTGTGCTCAAATGTGGTCGGTGAGGCACCTTCAACCTGCTCTGTCTTAAGGAAGTCCCCAGATAGCTGAGAGGCTGCCATGCCCACTGCTTGCGGGTGTCTGAGTGCTGCCTTGGAGAAGGACAGACAGTCATGACACGTGGGACCTGAACATGGGCGCTTGCTGCAGGGAGTAGCTCTTGCCTTGCTGATGGAGAGGAACCCAGGAGAGCAGGTGCTGGAACCTTCCATCTTCAGCACCAAGGGCAGAAAGGAGCCAGCGTATGGTCAGCTTGTCACACCCTTCACGGTTGCTGCGTTCCTGTTGTGTGCTGAGAGCCTGCTTCCGTGAGTTTGCAGTGTGTGGAAACACGGAAGGGGCAGGAAAGAGAAGGGACTCCACGTTCCTGCCATTGCACCTATGAGAATACATGCAGGGTGGCAGTCAGCACCGTCCTATAAAAATAGAATGTGTGCCACATAGGTCATTTTGAAATTTTCTCAGAGTCACATTAAAAAATACACTAAAGGCCAGGTATGGTGGCTCATGCCTATCCCAGCACTTTGGGAGGCCGAGGCGGGAGGATCACAGGGTCGGGAGATGGAGACCATCCTGCCTAACAGGGTGAAACCCTGTCTCTACTAAAAATACAAAGATGAGCTGGGCGTGGTGGCAGGCGCCTGTAATCCCAGCTACTCGGGAGGCTTGTGCAGGAGAATCGCTTGAACCCAGGTGGCGGAAGTTGCAGTGAGCCAAGATCGTGCCACTGCACTGCAGCCTGGGGACAGAGGGAGACTCTGTCTCAAAAACAAAATACATTAAAGGATGCCTTGAAAAATCTATACCTGTTTTGTCTCTGTTAGTGGATTAGTCTCAAAAGAAAACATATTTGAGGTGGCCCAGCCAGCATCTTATTTCCGGTCTTTTATGTAAAGATTTACTTTGGGGCCAAGCACAGTGGCCATGCCTGGAATCCCAACACTGGGAGGCCGAGGCAAGAGGATCACTTGATCCCAGGAGTTCGAGACCAGCCTGGGGGACATGGTAAAACCCCATGTTTACCCTACAAAAATTAGCCAGGGGTGCACATGTGGTCCCAGCCACTTGGGAGGCTGATGCAGGATGATTGCTTGAGCCCCGGAAGTTGAGGCTGCAGTGAGCAGTGTTTGTGTCACTATTCTCCAGTCCAGGTGACAAAGCAAGACCCTGTCTCAAACAAAAACAAAATTCAGGGGCCCATGAATAGATACTAAGCTAGAGTGTTCATTTCTGCACTAAAAGTTCCGGCACATCTCAGGAAATAAAAGACTCACCAGCGATTCCTTCTTTCCCCATTTCACTCCCAAAAATGAAGACTGATGATCTAGTGCTAGAGAGCACTAATTGTTTACCTGGCTGTCTCTGTCATTTCCTATAAAAACTGTGGGTATTCTCTTTCTCTCCCCCACTTTTCTTTCTTTCTCTTCCTTGCTTCCCTTCTTATCTTTCTCCTGTTCTTGGTTTAGTCTGGACCAGGCTAACCTGACTGAAACGTGGGTTCCTCTCGTAGCGTATTATACTGAGTGTAAAGGTGTTACACTGCTTGGCCTGTGGATTTGGCCTGGTCTGCACTGTGTGGTTCGTGTGCACTTGAGCATGTTGTGTGCAGTTTCACCCAGAGCCACTCATTCCACCAAAGACAGAGAAATGAAATGAAGCCAAGTCTCAAGGAAGTGGTTGGGCAGGTTAATTGTAACTCTTACAATTAACTTTCAATTACGTATTTATTTTCACCAAATAATTATTTTCTATTTCAACCCCATTTCGGCTAATTCGACTTTAAGGCATACACGGTGACTCCCTGTCTGCTGCGAAGGTAGTCATCCAGCAATCAGACCTCTTCCAAAAAGTGAAAACCCTTCATAGACTGGTGCAAAGCCTGTTTCTGTTTCTGAGTTCCAGGTGGGAACTGGATATCCGACTGTGCTTCAGTAGCTGTGAGGTCAGTGTCTCCAGCTCAGATCTGTGACAGCCCCAGAGCAAGTGCCTGAAATTTTGAGAAAAGTGAATCTGGCACATTCACATTCTCAATATCTGCTGTCACTGAAATTCCAGATCACAATCCAGGAGAACTTAGAGAATGAAGTTCCTTCAGAGTGCGAGGTTGGGAGGGAGAGAAAGGCTGAGGGAACTCCAGATGATGATTCTGCGGTGAGGGATGAGGTGGCCTGCGGTTCAGTCACCGCCTGGTGTGCGCACGTGCATGCTGCCTTTGAACCCGGCACGGGAACTCCTTCCGGATGATTGTGACGCCCTGACGAGGCTCTTCCCTTCCAACACCCTGCAATGTTTCCTGTTTGTTTCAACCTGTAGGAAGAAGGAGGAGTTGCGGATGATAATGCCATTTCTAACCTGCTTTGGGTAAGCCTGACTCTAACACAGGTGTCCTCTAGATGGTGGCTGGAGTCCCACGTGGGTGATTCTCACCCTGGGTGGCTCCTTCGGGTGCCCTCACTGGTGCTTTATCTCCAGACCAGATGCAGCCTTTGTCTGCAGTGGAGAGCTGAGCGCGCGCCCTTAAATTAGTTTTTTAATCATGTAATGAAAATACTTTAAAGAAGATGATATTTTCTGTTGAATGTTAAAACTGTCAATGAAAGTCATGGTTCCCTCTCTGCAACTGACAATCTTCTATAAATTAACTCATTTAATTACTGCACAAAGCTGACTCAGATACAGTTACCTCGCTTGTGTCGATTTATTTTAGCATCAGATTTCATGGGAGGACTCTTTTGAAAAAACTGAAATTGCAACCAGTAAATTAACATTGTTAGAAAAATCATCGTTTTGTCTCTCCCTCCCCACGTCCCTGCCCGGCCCCGCTCTGATAAATCTTCTCCATTCACCTTCAATCCTCTTGCTCTGCTCTGTAGGAACCTGTACATGCTTCTACTTACTCTCCTGCTATTCCTGCTGCCCATAAATACCTGTGTTTTGTGTCGATTAATCAGGTGAGGAAAAGCCGCGCATCTTAAGCCTCGCTGCAATTTCTGAGCAGCAGGTGAAGGACTTCTGTTTAATTTGGGGAAATAACTTATTTGCTGTATTTCACTATGAGAGAGAGGGGCATGTATGTGTGTGTGTTTCGGTATAATCGTGTGTGTCCATGAGAGTGTGTATCTATGAATGTGTTTCTGAGTGTGTATATCTGTGTGTATATGACTGTGTATGTATCTATGAGTGCATTTCTAGGTGTGTATCTGTGAGAGTGTGTCTATGAGTGAGTGTGTATCTATGACTGCATTGCTGGATGTGTATCTGTGAAAGTGTGTGTCTGTATGTGTGTGGGTATCTATAACAGTGTGTGTGTGTGCATATGTGTGTGTTTAATTGGTTTGTAATATATTTAGGGTCAGTCGCACACACACTGATCCTTGCGCAGATTTTCTGGTTGACATGATGGTGTTAATTCACCTCATAGTGATGAAACTGGTTTAAGAGGAGAGTGACCCTTGCAGCCTCCATGCTTTCCATCCTGAGTCAGGATCCCAGGAGATGCGCCGGTGTCCTTGGCTCTGGCTCAGTGAGGCTGTTGTCCTGCTCAGTTCATAGCGGAGGAGGATGTGGTGGAGGATGCTTGGGGTGTGGAGGGACAGGAAGACTCAGCGAGGGGAGGCCCCTCCAGTGGCCCTACTAAAGCACCAGGAGGAGCTGGTTCCAATGGCCCTATTAAAACGTGAGACCACAGCCCCTCCCCCTTCCCTCCATCTTCGATGTAGCCGTCCTGAACCCCGTGCTGGAGGGCAGACTGGGCTAAGCCACTCTGCTGGTGAATACATGGAAAATAGGAATGGCTGGCTTTTGATTCCCTCATGGAATGTTCTTGGTGTCAAAACAGCTTCACTTTTCCATTAGTGCCAGGTTCCCACCTCCTCCCTGTGGGGCTTTGCCCATCTTTCCCCTGTAGGCCCTCTGTCCCCTCCCTCTAGGCCCTCTGTCCCTGCCCTCTAGGCCCTCTGTCCCTGCCCTCTAGGGCCTCTGTCCCTTCTCTCTAGGCCCTCTGTCCCCTCCCTCTTAGGGCCTCTGTCCCCTCCCTCTAGGGCCTCTGTCCCTTCCCTCTAGGCCCTCTGTCCCTGCCCTCTAGGGCCTCTGTCCCCTCCCTCTAGGGCCTCTGTCCCCTCCCTCTTAGGGCCTCTGTCCCCTCCCTCTTAGGGCCTCTGTCCTTTCCCTCTAGGGCCTCTGTCCCCTCCCTCTAGGGCCTCTGTCCCCACCCTCTAGAGCCTCTGTCCCCACCCTCTAGAGCCTCTGTGCCCTCCTTTGTAGGGTTTCTGTTCCCTCCCTCTAAGCTCTCTGCCTCTTTCTGTTAGGGTGTCTTTTCCCTCCCTCCAGCACCTGTCTCTCCAGCAGGACTGGGGCTTTCTTAGCTCTCAGGTGGCCTCTGACAGTGTCACGATGGGCGTGCTCCGGCAGCACCAGCAGTTGTTGAATGAGAGGCTCAGGGTTTCACATGAGAAACTGACAGAGAAGGTGTCTGGGGTCCCCCGTCATCATCTCTTGCCTCTTCCCAAATGGAAACTCCCTGCTTCTTCTCCCTGGGCGGCCTTTCCCATGCTCTCCTGGTTTATTTCCTCATTTCCCTGAAGCTGGAAACGCTGGCTCTAAGAGCCCAGGCCCCACATACCGTGTCCACCCCAAGAAAGAGGCTGAAATCTGGAGCAAACTTCCTATCCCAACACAAAGTGGGGAAATGAGCTTCTGTGTCTTTGAAATAAATCAATATTAAACTTTAAAGGAAGAGGTATATTATTGAAACCTTTAAGTGTATACAGTAGGCCCTTCATCTCTTCCAGTTTCGCATCCAAGGATTCAACCAACTAGGGATACTTGGGAATAAAAACAATAAAAAAGAACAATACACAATTGAAAAATTCAAAACCAATACAGTAGAAGAGCTATTCACATAGCCTTTACCTTGTGTTAGGCGTCATCAGTCATCATGAAATGATTTAAAGTATATGAGGGATGTGCACAGGCTGTATGCAAATCCTACACCCTTTCATATCCGGGACTCGAGCATCTGTGGATTTCGGTATCTGTGGGAGGTCCTGGAACCAGGCCCCCGTAGATGCTGAGGAACAACTGGATACAATTTTTAGAAGAATTTTTTTTTTTGGAGCAGTTGTAGGTTCTCAGCAGAAAATGCAGAGTTCCTACATCATCCCTGCCCTCCACACACAGCCTCCCCCCTCACCAACACACCTCTCCAGAGTGGCACATTTGCTACCAGTGATGAACCTACGCTGACACATCATTATCCCCAAAGTTCATAGATGAGGTTAAAATTGACTCTTGGTGTGGTCCATTCTGTGGGTTTTAACAAATGTGTAATGACACATGTCCACCGTTACCGTATCATATGGAACTGTTTCCCTGCCTGAAGATCCTCTGTTCTCCGCCTCTTCATCACTCTCACTGCCCAGTCCTTGGCAACCTCTATTTTTTTTACTGTCTCATAGTTTTGCCTTTTCCAGAATATCAGAGTTGGAATCATCCAGTATGTAGCCTTTTCACATTGGCTTCTTTCATTTATGCATTTAAGATTCCTCTATCTTTTTAAATTTTTATTTATTATTATTATTGTTTTTGAGATGGAGTCTTACTGTGTCACCCAGGCTGGAGTGCAGTGACACAATCTTGGTTCACTGCAACTTCTGCCTCCCTGGTTCAAGCAATTCTCCTGCCCCTGAGTTGCTGGAATTACAAGCTATTTTTTTTTTTGTTTTTGTTTTTTTGTATTTTTAGTAGAGATGGGGTTTTGCCATGTTGGCCAGGGAGGGTCTCGAACTCCTGACCTCAAGTGATCCGCCCACTTCACCCTCCCAAACTGCTGGGATTACAGGCGTGAGCCTCTTCCGTGTCTTTTTATGGCGTGAAAGCTTTTTTCTTTGTAGTGCTGAATAACATTTCAGTATCTGAATGTGCCAGTTTATTCATCTGCTTGAGGACAGCTTGGTTGCTCCCAAGTCTTGGCAATTATGAAAAAGGTGCTATAAGCATCCATATGCAGGCTTTCGTTTAGACATAAGTTTTCAACTCAATTGAGTATCAAGGAGCATGATTACTATATGACATAATAAGAGTATGTTTAGTTTTCTAAGAAACCTCCACACTGTCTTAGAAAGTGGGTGTACCATTTTGCATTTTCATCAGCCCTCTCTCTCTGCTTCTCTCCACTACATTCATGGGCTCTATCTTTGAAAGAATGAAGGACAGATGGGGTAAGTTTCTGTTCAGATTCTTCCCCAACTCTCTCTTACTATCCCAGCCAATCCTAAACATTTGCAGCTAAACCGGGGATAATGACACAATACTTATACTGTATATGTTTTCCCACCCCAGCCAGGGGCGGTGGTTTGGAAACATTGTGCTCCTGCCTTTCAATATCCTAAAGTCCAAGACATTTCCTCCCGTAACCACAATACTGTGGTCAAGATGAGGAAGTTAATGTTGATACAAAGTTTATCTCATCCACATCCACCTTAAAATTGTGTCCGTTTCCTCCAATAATGCCCTTTGGAGCTTGTAGCCCCCACTCCATCTAGGATTCAAGCCAGGATCAGGCATTGCCTTTGGTTACCATCTGTCTTTAGGAAAGGGTTTTAACCTAATTTAAATTGGCGGGGACCTCAAAATCACTTCTGGCTATGAGGGCTTTATAGAAGAATCCTATAAAAGAAAGATTCTTCACTTAGATGCTGGAGAAGTCCACGTTCAGAGCTTAAACCAAATGGTCCCAGTGCAGACCTGGTTTTATACTGCTGGAAAGGAAGGGAAGGCCCCTTTTCCTCTGTCAACCCCCATCTTTCCGGGGCATTAAGAAAATGAACTGTGCCAGCCTCCACCCTCTTCCTCTCGCTCCTGAATCAGGAAGTTCCCTCCCGTGGGGCAGAGCAGGGAAGTGGTGGCCAGTGGGGTGGAAAGGCCTGGGGAGAGTCTCTAGGATGGCTTCGCTCGGGGCTGTCCGAGTCCTCCCTGTGTCAGCGCAAGGCCTTAGGATCACGCAGATCCACGGTGACGTCTTAGCCGAGGAAGACGCCTTAGGAAGGCAGAGAAGCTGGGGACCTGCTGGAGAAGGTGCGGATGCTCAGATGTAGTTTGAAAGCGGATGCGCCAGGCCAGGTGCTGTGGCTTAGGCCTGTAATCCCAGCACTTGGGGAGGCCAAGGCGGGCGGATCACGAGGTCAAGAGATTGAGACCATGCTGGCCAACATAGTGAAACCCCATCTCTACTAAAAATACAAAAATCAGCAGGGCATGGTGGCGCGCGCCTGCAGTCCCAGCTACTCGGGAGGCTGAGGCTGGCAAATCGCTTGAACCCAGGAGGGGGAGGTTACAGTGAACCAAGATCGGGCCACTGCCTTCCAGCCTGGCGACAGAGTGAGACTCTGTCTCAAAGAAAGAAAGAAAGAGAGAGAGAGACGGGGGGCCTTCCTCGGGAAAAGCCGCAGGGCAGGGCCCCGAGAGGAGCCCCAGGGCGACAGCCAGGGACGGGCCTCCTGCTTGGGAGGGGGCGCCTGTCCACTCTTCCTTCCTGGCGTTAGCTCCGCAGCTGTGCTTTGTGCCTCCCCGCAGACAGGGGTCTTGGGGTGCAGAGAGGGGTAGCTTGAAGGCAGAGGGAAAGCAGACTCTGCCGCCAGCATGTGAGGACCTCCTGCCCCGGTGCTACCCATGAACACCACCCACAGTCTCCTCCCCACAGGCCACTCAGTGTCTCGTCCTCTGCCTCCGCCCCATCTCCCCATCCCAGGCCTATCCTCAGCCCCATCCTCAGCCCCACTCCCCATCCCAGGCCTGTTCTCAGCCCCACTCCCCATCCCAGGCCTGTTCTCAGCCCCACTCCCCATCCCAGGCCTGTTCTCAGCCCCACTCCCCATCCCAGGCCTGTCCTGAGCCCCCTCCCAATCCCAGGCCTGTCCTCAGCCCGGTCTCCCCATCCCAGGCCTGTCATGAGCCCCTGCTCCTTTCCTGAGGCCCCTGAGTTCCCTGTAGCTTCTTCCCCTTCTCCTCCTCGACATCACCAACCACAAGCGTCACCAATGGCTTGGACATGAAGAGCAGGTATCCCCAGAACACGAGTTAGAAACTGTCGAAAGCATTTTAAGTAGAAATGTTATTGTGTGTGTAGGTCACGTCCATGGCATAGTTCGTCCTCAACATCAGATGTCTCACAGCCTGAAGCTTCTTCCATGGGCTCCCCTGGTGGCCTCCCTGCCCTCAGAACATCCTGGCTGCAGGAAAAAGCAAGCAGCGTCCCAGAAAACCTCCTAAGCAGCCTCCCTGCCTCTAACTGGCCGTATTAGAGGATAAAGTTTTCTAGATCAGTCCTTTTATTTATGAGTATTTAGGTATAAAACTCTCCCGGTTAACTGAGTTTAAATAGATGGGTTAAGACAGAAAAGCTTTAAAACCCTGTAGAGTCCAGGGCACGAAAACAATCCATTTTTAATTGTTTATGTTTACAAAGGATCATTTTGCTGCTCCAGTGCCCCAAACCAGTGTTACAGGACAGAGGTTTTCATCTAAAGTTTCAATATCGCCAGCGGTGATCTCCAACCCAGCGTGGACCTAAGGAAGCCCAGCCCATTTCAGAGAGAACGTTTCTGAACGTCTTTGGAGGATATGCTTACTCCTCTTTGCCTGTCTGCTTTTTTTACTCATGAAGTGCTGCAGGCTGAGATCCACACGGCTGTCACTTCTCTCTCCTGATTTTTCTTCTCTACGTTTATGAACAGCGGGTCACAGAAAGTCGAGAAAGCCAAATGACGATTGAGGAGAGGAAGCAGCTCATCACTGTGAGAGAGGAGGCCTGGAAGACGAGAGGCAGAGGAGCGGCCAATGACTCCACCCAGTTCACTGTGGCTGGCAGGATGGTGAAGAAAGGTCAGCGTGTGTGCGCACGTGTGGGGGGGGGCGTGTACACAATGCACACATGTGATCACACTCACCCATGGAGGGCATGGTGGTACCTGATAGCTCAGTTAAAAAGAAGAAACCATGGTCTTTTTAAGCTTTTTCTTTAAGAGACAGGATCTTGCTCTATAGTCTAGGCTGGAGTGCAATGGCTCAGTCGTGGCTCCCCGCAGCCTGGAACTCATGGGCTGAAGCAATCTTCCCACTGCAGCCTCTCCAATAGCTGGGACTATAGGTGTGCAACACCATCCCTGGCTTTTTAAATATTTTTATGTAGAGTGGGGTGTCACTGTGTGGCCCAGGCTGGTCTGGAACTCTTGGGCTTAAGTGATCCTCCCATCTTGACCTCCTAAGTAGCTGAGACTACAGGTGTGAGACACCATGCTCAGTCTTCTTTTAAAATTTTTAAACTTACTGACATTCTGTCAATGTTTTCTGTGTAGGTTCTGTGAGATATTCCTACTGAATATCTTTTCCTCATAAATAGTATCATCTTATTTTAACTTTATGTGATTCTTAGAAATATTTGAAGGTCATATAAGAATGACACTATTTGTCACTATTTTAAAACTTACTCATTTGGAATTGAGTGAAAGTGGAGGTTTCAAAGGAATTCAAATCTGCTAACAAATCTTGGTCCTTTTCCATAATTACTTGTGTGTGTGTGTGTGTGTGTGTGTGTGTGTGTGTGTATGTATGTATATTTTTTGTTTGTTTGTTTGAGACAGAGTTTCGCTTTTGTCGCCCAGGCTGGAGTGCAATGGTACAATCTTGGCTCACTACAACCTCCACCTCCTGGGTTCAAGTGATTGTCGTGCTTCAGCCTCCCAAGTAGCTGGGGTTACAGGCACCCGCCACCATGCCTGGCTAATTTTTCATATTTTTAGTAGAGACGGCATTTCACCATGTGGGCCAGGCTGGTCTTGAACTCCTGACCTCAGGTGATTCACCTGCCTTGGCTTCCCAAAGTGCTGGGGTGTGGGGTGGATGGACTCTCACTCTGTCTCCCAGGCTGGAGTGTAGTGGCAGGATCTTGGCTCACTGCAACCTCTGCCTCCCGGGTTCAAGCAATTCTCCTGCCTCAGCCTCTCCAGTAGCTGGGATTATAGGTATGCACCACCACGCCCAGCTAATTTTTGTATTTTTAGTAGAAACGGGATTTCACCATGTTTGCCAGGCTGGTCTCAAACTCATGACCTCAGGGGATCCACCCACCTCAGCCTCCCAAAGTGCCGGGATTACAGGCTTGAGCCACCGCACCCGGCCGTAAGTGGATTCTTACTACCAAATACCACTGCCCTTGTCCACATTGACATCAGAGGAAATAGATTTGCTGTTACTCAGGTTGGGAGAAGGAATCGTTTCTGTTTCCCAGTGGATGAGTTTGCTTTCACATTTTCCTGAATATATCAGGGATCTTTATTTAATAGGTGCTATATGGCTCACTCAGGAAATTATCTTCTTGTACTTTATGATTAATGAAAAAACTATATCCTGTATTCTAATATTTGCCGTCACCTCCTGGGTTACGTGTTTCACATGAGTCATTAGCTGTTTTTGATTTGTAGTGATATGGCATCCGATGTACATTCACTGCAGGATAAAATAACCCCCTGCACAACAGCCAGGCTTTCTCCCGGGACAATTAGGGAACCAGGAATGACCCCTCTTGGCGCGTTGCCAGGAGGCATCCAGGACCTGACCTTCATTCTCTCACCCCAGAAACCGCTCTTCTCCCACTAGCCTCATTAGGACTTGCCTCCTTTTGTATATTCCTCAATTCTGTGTAACAGCACTCCCCAAGGTTCCCGTGCTATTTATTCTAGGATTCTCCTGGAAGCCAAGTACTCTAACTACAGCTGGAGTAAGAGAGACGTGAAAATGTTCCCAAAGACAGTAGGTGACTGATTGTTGCACCTGGAATTCATTGAGAAGAGCTAGGTGGAAGATCTTTGTTTTAACATTTTGTAATTTGCATCTCCATGCCCTGAGCCATTTCTTCCCTAAGGATCCTTACCTCTAGCTGGGAGAAGAGCTCTTTTGAGCAGTGCCACTGCCTGAACAGCCAGCAGGGGGAGCCATGGCAGTGGGGATTGCCCAGCATAGGCCAGGACAGGAAAGGATTTCTCTGGTTGCTTTGATACCAGCCTTCAGAGAAATTAAATATATGTACATAATGGGAAGTATTGTAGAATATTACCTAAAACTTGAGTTTTAAACCATTCAATGGTATTTTTTATTAATTTTTTTCACCGCAATACTTCTCCAGCTCACAGGAGGAAGGAGCAGAATCATTCATTCATTCAGTTTTCCTTGTGATAGTGATTTGCATATTCTCCGGATGTTGTTCGTCCAGGGATGCATTGTCATCTAAGTGGCAATGTCATCTAAGGATTTCACATTTATTACAAATGAGTACAGAGAACACTCACTTCTCATTTTGTTTTATGTAAATGCACGAATTAGTTTTCTTTCCAATGCCTCCTACGTAGGTTAGGGAAGCCTCACTCATTCTTCTCTCACTAAGTTTTCTTCTTCCAGCTGGGTGTGTTTTCCATGCTCGGATTCCTCCCTTTCCCTTTCATGTGTCTCTTACTGCTTGTCTTTTTAGAATCCCCACCCTGCTTCTCAGTAAATATATGAATAAATGCATTTCTGGTTTCTGCCCACACAGGAGGTGGACAGGACCCTCCAACACCCACAGTCGGTCTAGACCTGCCCCGTGGTTTCTTTTGAAACATTGTTCCTCTTTGGGTTACTGTCTGTGTCGTGTCCCCAAGGCCACTGTCCCTCCCTCCCCTCAGCCTGGAGGAGAGCTCCTGTGCTGGGGGCTGCTTGCTGGCGAGTGTGACACACCTCATTCTGCAGATGGCATCAGTGCACTCTCAGCTGCCCCTGACACCCCCAAAGGGCCTCAGAACTCACAGCTGCATCTGCTCAAGCTTGTGTGTCATGGACATGTTTTCCCACGTCTTGACTGTTCATTTTGGCATATTGGCTTGTCAGCCACTGCAGTCCCTGGAAAAATAAAATCCTGTCTGCATTTGCAGTTGGTGGCCCCACAGTCGTGGTACCTGTGAAATGTGTGTGCCTGCAGGTGTGTAAATTCTTATATGTCGTGCCATCTACCCTGGGACTCCTGGAGATCCATCAGGGTCCCAGGGATTTCCAGACGTGACCCTGAGGTGCTCAGTGGATCATCTGTGTGTTCCGCAGGTTTGGCGTCACCCACTGCCATAACCCCAGTGGCCTCACCCATTTGCAGTAAAACCAGAGGCACCACACCCGTTTCCAAACCCCTGGAAGGTAAGTGGCCAAGGCCCCAGCCATGCCAAGCAGTTTCTGACCAGAAGAGGCCTTCGTGATGCTGTCTCACTGACGGTTTCTGCTTGCCTAGATATCGAAGCCAGACCAGATATGCAGTTAGAATCGGACCTGAAGTTGGACAGGCTGGAAACCTTTCTAAGGAGGCTGAATAACAAAGGTACTAACCAGAAGCCAGAAGGCTTCGCTCTCAGAATCTCTAAATCCTGATTCTGATTGCTTTTCTTCCTCAGCTAAATTGCTTTCTTTCTATTATGGCTTCACTAATCCATACTGCCATCACGGTCTTTGTCGTTATCTTTCAAAAACTGAAGCTTTGGTCCAGCCTGATTAGACTATCAAGCCCTGACTCACTTGATCATGTAGTAAATTGGGGACTTCCAATAATACATTTTTTTTATGGAATCTAAACCCTTGGATGTCATCCAATCAGAACTGTGAACTGAGTGATTTTGCTTCTAACTCTGAAAGCAGATTATTCCATGTTGGCAAAATCAACGTGATCTTGGGCCTGATGAACTTTAAATTACATGTTATCAATTTCCAATAAGGTAAAAAGCTGATATTATTTCTTATATCACAAATGATTTCTAAAAGAAAATTATAGCAAATGAATGTTGAAATATTTCAATATAAAACTCAATGAGGTATACAAAAAAAAATAGCCTTTGTCTCTTTTTTTTTTTTTTTTTTTGAGACGGAGTTTCACTCTTGTTACCCAGGCTGGAGTGCAATGGCACAATCTCGGCTCACTGCAACCTCCGCCTCCTGGGTTCAGGCAATTCTCCTGCCTCAGCCTCCTGAGTAGCTGGGATTACAGGCACGCACCACCGTGCCCAGCTAATTTTTTTGTATTTTTAGTAGAGAGGGGGTTTCACCATGTTGACCAGGATGGTCTCAATTTCTTGACCTCCGTGATCCACTTGCCTTGGCCTCCCAAAGTGCTGGGATTACAGGCGTGAGCCACCGTGCCCGGCCTTGTCTTTTGATTAAAATGTCCAGTCCTGGAAACTTACCAATTACTAGGCGCTAGGAGTCCCTGCTATTGACAGTGACCACTAAAAGGCTGAAAATAATACAGTCACCCCTGAACAGAAACATAAAATGTAATATAATCACTGAGTTAATGAAGCAAGGAATGCCAGTCGGCAAAGCATTTATTCCACACGTGGAACAGTGACCTAGGCCGTGGGTCAGCAGGCGATGGCCATTGCCAAATCCAGCTGCCCGCTTGCTTTTTTTTGTTTCTGTTGTTTGTTTTTTAGAGACAGTGCCTTGCTCGATCACCCAGGCTGGAGTACAGTGGTGCCATCATAGCTCACTGTAGCCTTGAACTCCTGGGCTCAAGCAATCCTCCCACCTCAGCCTCCCGAGTACATGGGACTATGGGCATGCACCACCAAGCCTGGCTAATTATTTTGTCTGGTTTTGTAGAGATTGTGTCCCACTATGTTGCTCAGGCTGGTCTTGAACTCCTGGGCTCAAACAATCCCCCAGCCTTGGCCTCCCAAAGTCCTGAGATTATAAGCATGAGCCACTATGCCCAGCCCTGTTTTTGTTAATAAAGTTTTATTGAAACACATATATGCCCATCTGTGAACTACTGTCAACAGCCTTTGCATTTTAACAGCAGAACTGAGTAGTTGCAACACAGGCCCTGAGTCGCCCCTCCCCAGGCAAAGCCTAAAGCGTTCACTGCCTGGCCCATTTTGGAAGAAGTTTGCCGACCTTTGGTGTAGAACGAAGCTGAGGCTAGTTCATCCACCCTCAGTAGAAGCAAGCGCAGGTTCAGAAGCGTTGAGTGGGCCGCGTGTGCTATAAGGCCAGCCTCCCTCCCTCCTGTCATGTTACTGTGGGAGATCTGTTCAGGTGGGAAGTCCTTACGTGGCAGATGAAGTAAGGACCTGGGAAGCAACCACAGGACCCTGTATATCACAGTCGTGTTTCCTCCACTCCTGGAACGTGGGAGGAAATAGTTTTTAAACTATTGTGAGGCATAACTGTAGTCCTGTTTCTATAAAACTCTTACATCATTTGCTTGTTTGTTGATAGTTGGCGGGATGCAAGAAACGGTGCTCACCGTCACCGGCAAATCTGTGAAGGAGGTGATGAAGCCGGATGATGATGAAACCTTTGCCAAATTTTACCGCAGCGTGGATTATAATGTGCCGAGAAGCCCTGTGGAGCTGGACGAGGACTTCGATGTCATTTTTGATCCCTATGCACCCAAGTGAGTTATTTGGGTCTCCGTCATTCCTCCAATGAGAAGGGCTTCCGTCACCTGCCTGCACACAGCACATTCACGGGCTCTTCCCTGGCGTGACCTCCTTCTCCTTCTAACTCCATCACAGCAGCGTTAGTGTTCTAGGGCCAGGGCATGGAGCCTCGCAGCAGATAAACGTGCAGGCGGCAGACCAGATGTGCACTCAGGCAGACCCGTGGGCCACAGATGCTTGTCCTGTGCCATAAAGAGGATGTCACTGGACTTTTCACAACAACTGAATGTTGCTTTGCAGGTTTTGGGTTTATATCACTTAGCAGAGAGTTCAACACCTGTCTTTCATTTCACATATTGAGTTCTTACTCATAACTTTGCAAAATATTTGGATGAGATGGGCTCAAATTAGTACAGCTAACCAGAAAATCAGTAAGCACGTTACTTAGCTTCTAATCCTACAGGAAATCAGTAGCTCTGAGGGTTTTCTCAGTGGTGACTTAGGGTTTCTCTTCCTGCAGGAAATGACTAAACCAACCAGGGAAAGTGATTATGGTGTCAGGATTCCTTCAATTTCAAGTGCCAGGAGAAAGATCCCAACTCAAACCGACTTCCGCTAAAAAGAAAAGTGAACTGGGGATTACTGGCTCACTCGCCGAAAAGTGCGGGTGTGAGCTCGGGTTCTAGAGCCCCTCAGAACAGTCTGTCTTGGCTGCTTTCCCTTGGGCTGGCCTCCCTCTCTGTCAGGCAGTGGCCTGGCAGCAGATGGTCACCCCAGCTGTGGAGTCACAAGGCTGCCTCCTTGGCCAGCCCAGCACAGGTAGCTTCTCTTCCCAGTAGTCCCAGCAGAAGGTCCAGTTTTGATTTTCTTGGCGTCAACCTAAGCTCGAGTCCATCCCTAAACCAGTCACCATGGCCAGTGGGATAGAAGATGCCGACAGGCTGAAGGTGGGTCTCTAGGCCCCTCCAGAGCCACAGTGGAGACATAGACTGTTTCCCCAAAGGAAAATCCAGATGTTATTATGAGAAGCAGAGGACGGCATGCTAGACAGGCCACACCCATGGCAGTCCATCCATCTGGTCTTTCCTGAGAAATTGTCAGAATGACATATCATACCATTTCTACAAGCTGCTCCTGATACATTCTTTGTATATCTCAGTTTGCTCGATTCATTTCAATTTGCATGTTTTAATTTCCTACCATAAAAAATCAAACCTTTGCCATTTTCCACCTCAAAATAGTATTTTGGGTATTTGCACACCTATCTATTTAACCATTTCTCAGTCACTGTTTAAACTGGTGTGTGTCATAATTTAAACATATATGTATATTTACACACACATGACACCATGGTACATAAAGAGGCCTTTCGGGCACAGAGACCCCCACAGTCAGAGGTGGACAGTGGCAGCAGGGGCCTGTCAAGAGATCACTTAGCTTGGTCTGCTCACCTCCCCCAGTCTGGTTTTCCACCCCAGAGAGTTGTGAGAACGAGGGGTGGTCACAGATGGTGGCGGGCCTATTTTATTTCAATATATTCTTCCAAAGAGTGGTTATTTTTCAGAGGGGGCAGTGAGTTGAGTGGAAGCTAGTCATGGAGGGACAGCAAGGGGACCGAAAGCTATAGCATGGGGGAAGGCTTAGTCTGAGCAGAGAGGATCACATCAGGGAGCTGTGGTCTGCAAGTTCCTGAAGGGCTTGCCGGAGACAGACAAGTAGACGTGGGAGTGTGATTCCAAAGAGAGAATGAGGACATGTGCATGGGCGCAGGGAGGAGTGGCAGGAGCTCCCGGACCTCCAGAGCTGTCTAGCAGAGCCGAGACCTGCCCGGAAGTACTCCACACCCTTCCAGGCAGACCAAGGGGCATGAGTGAGTGGGGTCATCCAGGCGTGGCTGGGATTTGAACCCAGTGGGCTTGTGTCCCTCTTCCTTCTCCAAGGTTCTGTGAGTCCACCTCAGGGGAGTTGCGGTGGGGGGAGGAGTTGCAAGACTTGTAACAAAATCAGGAAATGCACTGTGGAGTCAAAGACCCACAGGTCACCAGGTGTGGGGGTGTCGCAGACCAGGACAGCGCTCTGCTTCCATCTGCAGACTGACGTCTTCTGTGGCCGAGCACAAGCGGGCAGTCAGGCCCAAGCGCCGGGTTCAGGCCTCCAAAAACCCCCTGAAAATGCTGGCGGCCAGAGAAGATCTCCTTCAGGAATACACCGAGCAGAGACTAAACGTTGCCTTCATGGAGTCAAAGCGGATGAAAGTAGAAAAGAGTGAGTATCTGAAATCCCTGCCTGCTCCTGTGCTTGGGAATGGCTTCTTCCATTGCTTTAATCATGTCTTGGCTTTCTGCCTGTGAAGGCCAATAAAGGTGCTCGGAAGCCCTCATGAAGTAAGAAGGAGTAAATATGAACATACGCATGCACGCGTACCTAGAATTGAAGGATTTGTCATGGAAATTCTCCCAGAGTGTATCACCTGATCACTTGGTTAATACAAATTATCCTAGGGTTTTCTCTTTTATTCTTTTTAAGAGACTGAGATCTCATTATATTGCTCAGGCTCATCTCAAACTATTGGCCTCAAACAGTCCTCCTACCTTGAATTTCCCAAAGTGCTGGGATTACAGGCAGGAGCCACTGCACCTGATTACAAATTATCCTGTTTTGTTGATTTTTTTTCTGGAAGTGAGAAGAGATGGCTATTTCTGAGTATGTTAATTCAGCCATTTTCAGCTCTGTGGATCCTGAACAGTCATTCTTCATTTAATCTTATTCAAGAGCAAGTCATTTGATCTCTTGTCGTAAAAGGGCTCAAATCACTGGTGTTTCTAATCCTAGATTTTTATATTATTCATTAACACATAACCAGTGCTTTTCAAATTGTTCTTGGTAGGACCCTCAGCTTCTAAAGTTAGGATGTGAGCTGGAGGGAGCAGGGGGAGCTGGCTGGGGATGATGGATGGAGGCGTGAAGGTGGATTCCAGACTCACCCTCACTGTGGCTGAGCCACGCTGCTCTGATCTGCCCAGTAATGTGGGGTTCCATCATTCTGAAACAGTGGTTTTCTTAGTTTGAGGTGAAAATATGCATAATCTTGATTTTTGAGACAATCTTGCTATAATTTTCCTTTTCCCCTAACACTCATAAACCAATTCCCTAATGTTTGTATTAGAAATATAGCATTTAGCTGAAGTGGTTGAGTCTTTTCAATATAACTGGTTTACTGAGAAAGTATATTTCAGCCTATGCGTGGTGGCTCATGCCTGTACTCTCAGCACTGCAGAAGGCAGAGGCAGGAGGATCTCTTGAGCCCAGGAGTCTGAGACCCGCCTGGGAAACAAAGCAACACCTTATCTTTACAAAAAATATAAAAATTAGCCAGGTGTGGTGGCACTCACCTGTGGTCCCAGCTATTCGGGAGGCTGAGGTGGGAGGATGGCTTGAACCTGGGAGGTCAAGGCAGCAGTGAGCTCTGATTGTACCACTGCACTCCAATCTGGACTACAGAGCCACACCCTTTCTCAAAAAAAAAGTGGTTATCAGAATCACAGCATTGACAAGTAGTATTCTATTTCTTCAAACCTAATCCCAGTGAAATAAACTGAATTTGTCTCCAACACATATATATATATTATATATACATATACATATATATTATATATACATATACATATATATTATATATATATATATTTTTTTTGGAATATATATATATATATTTTTTTTTTGGAAGGGAGTCTTGCTCTGTCGCCCAGGCTGGAGTGCAATGGCACGATCTGAGCTCACTGCAACCTCCATCTCCCGGGTTCAAGCAATTCTCCTGCCTCAGTCTCCTGAGTGGCTCGGATTACAGGCACATGTCATCACGCCCAGCTAATTTTTTGTGTGTTTTTAGTATAGACAGGGTTTCACCATGTTGGCCAGGCTGGTCTCAAATGTCTGACCTTGTGATCTGCCTGCCTTGGCCTCCCAAAGTGCTGGGATTACAGGCATGAGCTACCGTTCCTGGCGACATATACATTTTTTAAAACAGTAAGTTGGAGAAATGAAGGTTTGTTGGCTCAGATTTTTTTGTTGTTGTTGAGATGGAGTCTTGTTCTGCCACCCAGGCTGAAGTGCAGTGGCGCAATCTTGGCTCACTGCAATCTCTGCCTCCTGGGTTCAAGTGATTCCCGTGTCTCAGCCTCCCAAGTAGCTGGGACTACATACCCGGCTAATTTTTTGTATTTTTAGTAGAGACAGGGTTTCACCATGTTGGTCAGGATGGTCTTGATCTCTTGACTTTGTTATCTGCCCGCTTCAGCCTCCCAAAGTGCTGGGATTGCCGGCATGAGCCACCGTGCCTGGCTGGCATGTACACATTTCGTCTGCCTCCACTTTTGGGACCTTAGGGGTTAAAATGGTGATGACTGACCGACCCATAGATGTTTGCTGTTTTGCACTGAAAACCCATCTTATAATTACAATAGTAACTCTGAGAGCCGAAGAGCTCGAGATATCTGACTGATCACTTTGCCTTTAGGAAAAGATTAGAACCTAATTATCCCTTACAGAGCGTCTGCTTTTTTTCTCTTTACATATAAAGGCTTTTGGTGACAGATGTCTAACAGTCATCCGGCATCTACACATTTCCAGCATGTAAAAGTTGTTAGGATTTAGAACAGCTTTCAGTGGAACTGCAACAAGTGAATCCAGCTCCTGGCTTTGTACTAGAGCAGCTGGTCCACGTCGTCTCAGTTCTTGTCCCTCTGTACAGTGCGGTGTGACAGTTACCAACAAGCCGTTTATATTCTTGATGCTGTATTTAATTCCCAGCACGGTGGTTAAGCATTGAATTGCACATTTGATGAAACTTGGGTATGTTTCCCTCTTGGGACTAACTTGAAAAGACAAAGGTGTTAGGTCGGTTGTGAATGATTTCTGACTGTAAATATTGTCACTGTAACTGGACCTTCTGCGTTGTGTTTCCATATAAAGCCCGCCCAGTGTCTTCCAACTCCAGCTTCTCAGAAGTCACCCTGGCAGGTTTAGCCAGTAAAGAAAACTTCAGCAGCGTCAGCCTGCGGAGCGTGAACCTGACGGAACAGAACTCCAACAACAGCGCCGTGCCTTACAAGAGGCTGATGCTGCTGCAGGTTAAAGGTATTTCATAGCAGCTGGGCCCAGTGACCCAGGGCCCGTGGTTTCTGTCTGGTCACCCGAGGAGTCCTGACACATTCATCGCCTGTGCTGGGAAGGGAACCCAAGCTTTTTGAGAACCTACTGTGTGTTCCTTGCTATGCAACATCCTGTCTCTTGAGCTTCCCCAGATTCCATGAGGTAGGAAGTATTCTGCCCATCAGGGCTGCCGGAGGCAGGAACGTGTCTGGGGTCCCAGCAGGTGTGGGGTGGCAAAGCTGGATTCGAACCCACATCCCTGACTCCAGAATCCCAGCTTTTGCTCCTGATGCCCCGCGCCCCATGAGGCAGCCACACATTCATGAAGTTACCAGAGGCGCCCTGCATCATCAGAGGGGCTCTCTGCTCCCTACCCGTTCTCCCCGACTCAGTATAGAACCGGCAAGGACACAGCTTGGAGAAGGAATCAAGAGAAGGTCAAGCAGATGCAGTCCCCCTGCATTCCACTCCAGTTCCCTCCTGTCCATGGCAGGAGAGATTTCAAAGACGAACTTGGGGGGCGCTGGCCATGAGGAGGGAGACTCGGCCGCCTCCTGGTGGCGACTGTATAGATGAATCTTCAAGAGGAGAATAAAGGAATCTCTCCCTCCAGGAGGGTTTCCCATGTGTTTCTGCATGACCGCTGTCCTATTGTGTATTTTTTAAAAACAACTAGTGGCAAGCTCAAATAAATGATCTCTGTCTTGAGTCCTAACCCAGAGACCACATGGTCAGTGTAATTGTGGAAAGCTCAAAATCAACAAATATTTGGAGAAGGTGTTGAAAGCCACAGAAGGCCGTGCCTCCCTCCTTCCAGTGGAGAGGCCCCTAGGGTTCACAGTGGAAACTCCCCAGGGGAAGATCAGACCCTTTCTGAGGGCGAGGCTTCCCTTGCTGAGGCCACAGATGTAACTGGGTGCAGGGGTGGCCAGGGGAGAGAAGGCCCCAGGTGAAGAGTGAAGGAGGGAAAAGGAGCCCCTGTGTTCGTTTCCCTGGAAGGGAAAGCCTCAGTTCACTCACACACGTGACACTGACAATGGTCCTGAGATGTGGGTGACATTTGGGAAAGCAGGGACCAGGGAAGCAGTCACTAGTGCTGTCATGATGCCCTTTCTAAATCCCCCTGCTGCCACCCTAGGCCATGGGAACTAAGCAAAGGCGTCCGCAGCAGGGAGGCTTCCGAGGTGGGGTGTGTCCTGACCCCATTCTGTCCGGGAAGACGGTGACCGTTTGCCTCGTGTTCAGGAAGAAGACACGTGCAGACCAGGCTGGTGGAGCCTCGGGCCTCGGCGCTCAACAGCGGGGACTGCTTCCTCTTGCTCTCTCCCCACTGCTGCTTCCTGTGGGTAGGAGAGTTTGCAAACGTCATAGAAAAGGCAAAGGTTGGTATCTGGAAACTAAAAACGCTGTAGCAAATGTCCCCTTTACACAGGGAGAGTGTTCTCCCTGGTGTCAGTCACAAAGCTTCTCAAACGCCAGGTGTTGCATTCAAGTGAAAGGGATAGGTGGTATTTCTTTTCCTGAATGTCTCTCAAACATGCTTTCATTACATGTTTAAGTGGGATGTTTTAGGACTATGACCTACACCCCCAGCATTTAGGTCCTGGGTTCCTTCTTACTCCTGCGTAAGAAAAGGAACTGGCCCCACTTTGAAGACCTTTATCTCAGGTCACTCTGAAGTTCCTCCATAGACCTATTGAATGAGAATGTCATGGGGTAAAGCCCAAAGAATGAGTATTTCTTAAAAGCGTCACATGTGACCTATTGAGATGAAGAACTATTGCTCTAAAGAATTGAAGCTTTCAGTTACATGTTCTTGAGGTCACTGAAAATACTCAGTAACCAGCATCCACCCACCCCCGTGGTCACAGGCCTTCCTTTCAGGCGCAGTTTCTCCTCTCTGGTTTTGACTGTGCTGCTCTGTCTAGCCAAGGGCTTTTCTACCCAGGTAATGCGTTCCTCTCTTTTTTAGGCCTCAGAACTTGCAGCTTTAATTCAGACAAAGAGGGAACTTGGTTGTAGAGCTACTTACATCCAAACCATTGAAGAAGGAATTAATACACACACTCATGCAGCCAAAGACTTCTGGAAGCTTCTGGGTGGCCAAACCAGTTACCAGTGTAAGACTTTATTGTACTTCAGAGATTGACGAGGCATGAATCTCCTTTCTTCTCCCTTAACTCCTTCTAAACCAGCTACTTTGCAATGGAAAATGTGATGCTCTCCTGTTCTTATCCCTAAGCTGCTGGAGACCCAAAAGAAGATGAACTCTATGAAGCAGCCATAATAGAAACTAACTGCATTTACCGCCTCATGGATGACAAACTTGTGCCTGATGATGACTACTGGGGGAAAATTCCAAAGTGCTCCCTTCTGCAGCCCAAAGAGGTACAGTCCGTGGGCTCTGCCCTTCAATGACAAAGCACATCAAAAGCACTCGGCACAGGCTGCCCAGGAAATTAGATAGCAAGTTTCCAATAAAGGTTAGCCAGTGTCAGTTCCCACTGTAGATCATTTACAGCTTTTTAAAGGATATTTGTGATTTCAAATCATTACTGAAATCTTAAATGCTAATATGGAATCCAGAATATTGTTCAGAGATGGAATGGATCAATGAAGATTTTTATGTCTTAAGCAAAATGTAAATATTACTTAACCTTATCTCTTGCACTTTGCATAAACATTATAATAAAATGTTTTTCAGTCCTTACATTTGAGGAATAATAGATGCATGTATGTATAATTTGTGGACTTGCCAATTAATGTGCTGCCTTTGTCCTGTCACGCCAGTAAATATTGGTTAATCACATATATTTCCAGTCCCATTAAGTATGCTAAGTGTTGAGAAGGTGGAAGACACACAAGGCCCTTCAGTGTAACTGGACAGAAGAGTCTTAGCAGGAATGTCATCTGGAGTGAGGGTGGCTGTGTGATATGTATGGGCATTTACACAGGAAAAAAGTCACAGAAAAAGAAATCTTCAGGAGTAATTTTACATAGAAAGTGAAATTGAGCTGAGTTTAGAGTTAAACAAAATTTGAATTGCTGGAAATGAAGGGAGAAATCATTCTAAGAGAAAGAATAAAACGAACCATGAAAATAAGAACTAGCACTACGTTTAGGTATTCACTCAGCAAACACATAGTAATCAACCCCTCCTCTGTGTATTGCTACGATCTGATCCCTGCCCTTAAGGATCTTGGAATTGTGTACAGGAGAGAAGACACCACTGGACCCGAGTGCCTGGTGTGTGAAGGAGCCTCTGTGTATATATTAAGTGAAAGAGTGAGCACGAGAGAGGGAGGAACAGGGGAGGGGGAGGAAGGAAAGAACATAGGAAGATGTGCTTACACAACTCTTGTGGATCACAAGAGGAGGGAACATTATCTCGGCCACTTAGGACACTGGGAGAAGGAATCACGCCCCCGGGGGCAGAGGCTGGCTTGGTGGGGCAGTACCAGCTGAGATCTCATGGCCTTTTTGTGTCTGTACTGGTTGCTCCATTAGGATTTCTGTCTTCCTGCGTTTGACTCTCTGTTAACAGAGACCCTGATTCAACTGTTGCACGTTCTTGAAGTTAACAAATTCTTTTGTGCCGTTTCTCCCAGGTACTGGTGTTTGATTTTGGTAGTGAAGTTTACGTGTGGCATGGGAAGGAGGTCACGTTAGCACAACGAAAAATAGCATTTCAGCTGGCAAAGCACTTATGGAATGGAACATTTGACTATGAGAACTGTGACATCAACCCACTGGATCCTGGAGAATGCAATCCACTTATCCCCAGGTACTCCTACCACCACGCAGGATCGCAGATTCCATTCGATCCCTCTGTTCTCACCGCAGTCCTCTACTCTTGCTCTTTATAGGGTTCAGTTTTCATAAATGATTATATGCAGTGGACCGTGAATATTCACAGAAGGCACTTCTTTCACTTTTATCCAACTACTGCAGAAATATGGATGCTGTAGTCTTCTGGAAGAGGTTATGTGATAGTTGATTTCTTGAAGTGAGCAGGAGATGCTGCAAGTTCCCACCTGTGGCACTCCAGGTGCTGCCGTGGCAGATGAACAGCAATTGTTTAAACAAATCACATGCGGATGTGAAACGCTTCCCCAGCTGGAATTCAGTCACCGATGTGAAGGTGCAGAAGCAATGTGCTTCTTCTAATTCATACCTTCCCAGCATCGCCCTGAAATTCCAGGATTTATCTGGCAGCAGATGATGTTGATGCCTTTACCTTTTGGGAAGGGAAGAGGGGGAGGAGATGGCATTAAAATAATGACTGCGATTTTAATATTTCCCGCATGTACTGGACTCTTAAAGTCATTTTGGCAATTCAATAGAATATGCGAAACCTCTAAAATTATGATTATGAAACAAAGAATTTTTACAGGCAAAGAATTGTTTTTTTTAACTATGAGACCAAGAAAAGTAGTGCTTTTTAACTATGTGCCATTATAATAGATTGGAAACCAATGAACCACCAAACAGCATAGAATATTGGGCATCACACAACTACATTTTAATGTTTTCCATTGACCTGGTATATGAATTGCAACTTTCCTGCTTAGTTTCCTGCTTTAAAATCCAGCTATTAATTTTCTTATTAATTAATCATTATGGAAACCATTAAAAATTACAGCAGTGTGGTAAGTTTTAAAGTCCTTTTTAAGCAAATGCACATTTAACATCAGGATGGTAACAACTGGTGTTTCAAGGACTGTAACTGCAGCTCAAGATTTTTTTCTACAGCAAAGAAAAAAACAGGCTAAAGCACAAAATCTGTGTGATGCCAGTTGTGTTTAGTAGTGGCTTAATCACACATCTGAAATTGGATGACTGAGCTCCTAGCCCACTGGTTTTCAACGTCTCTGAGAAAATTGCCTGAGGAGCCTTTAAACAAATGCATTTGCTAAGCCCAGCCCCAGAGATGTGTTTTTGATTCATGTGAATTAGAGCTTATGTGTCAATATGTCTTAAAAGCTCCAGGGATTTTAAGGTACAGCTAGGATTACACACCCCGCCCTTCTTAGCAAATGAGGCTGAAACCACTGAGCCCAGTTCTGGCTGTAAGTCAGGGAAGGGGGTGGGAAAACACACCTGGCTCCTGCCCCAGGTCGTACCCCTCACCCTGCAATCTGGCACGTTGCTTGCTCATGCTTCAAAATATAGACAACAGATTCTAAAGCAGAAGCCAAGGTCCCTTCCGATTGTCATCATAGCAAGCCTGCAGAGGAGGACTGACATAAAAGACTCTCATGCAGTTATTTCCTGATAAAGACCGCAGCCTTTCAAGATCACTGTGCGTTTTTCATAGGTTCTGATGTTCGGTTCCTAAAGTCCCACAAGAGGTAGAAGTGTCTGCGTTCTATGATTTATCCTGCAGTTTTCTTTGAATCCAGCAGCCTTTCTGATGTGCCTCAGCTGTGACGTCAGCAGCTGTGGGCTTGACCAAGCAGGAAGCAACTGAGGCAGTAGCACAGCAGGGCAGGAGCAGCAGGGCTGGCTGCTCTGAGGGGTCTTGTATCCTGAGCCGGATTCACAACCGAAGACAGATCTGGAGGTCTGAGAGATCATGCATGTTCATCCAGGGCCATGCCCTCCACAGCACATGCATCTTCTCGCCTCTACCTTTTTCTAAATTACCTAGGTCCTTGGGTACAGAGCAAATTCTAAAATCCCAAACCTGCAAAAAAGCTCCAGGTGGGGCTGTGCTATTGTCTTTCCTGTCTCTCTCTGCTCCCCCAGCTACTGCCCTGGCCAGTGGCCTAGAAATAAGTGTGCAAAATGCACTTTGTGATCTATGAGTGTGTTTAGTGACCGAAGAATCTTTGGAGAGCTTTGTTGTAACATGATATAAATGAGTAGAGAATTGAGGGAGAAGGGAGCTGTCTCTTCCCTACATCTGTTCATTAATAGGAAGGAAACTTGGTGAGTGTGCAGGTGACTGGGTGGCTAAAGTAGACAAGTAACGTTTGCTGGCGGCTGCTGCCTTTGCTGAAATGCCCACCCAGTATGCCACCCCAGGGCATCCCAAAGATGAGAACTGGCTAGAATGTGGCCCACGCCTGTAATCCCAGTACTTTGGGAGACTGAGAAGGGAGGATTACTTAAGGCCAGGAGTTCATGACCAGCCTGGGCAACATAGCAAGACCCATCTCCTATTTAAAAAACAAAAATTAGGGCCGGGTGCGGTGGCTCACGCCTATAATCCCAGCACTTTGGGAGGCCGAGGAGGGTGAATCACGAGGTCAAGAGATCGAGACCATCCAGGTCAACATGGTGAAACCCCGTCTCTACTAAAAATACAAAAAAATTAGCTGGGCATAGTGGCGTGTGCCTGTAATCCCAGCTACTCGGGAGGCTGTGGCAGGAGAATTGCCTGAACCCAGGAGGTGGAGGTAGCGGTGAGCCAAGATCGCGCCATTGCACTACAGCTGGGGTAACAAGAGCGAAACTCCGTCTCAAAAAAAAAAAAAAAAAAATTAGTCAGGCACACTGGCTCACACCTGCAGTTCCAGCTGCTATTCAGGAGGCTGAGGCAAGAGAATCAGGGTTCCGAGTTCGAGTCTGTAGTGAGCTAGGATCATGTGACCGTACTTCAGCCTGGGCAACAGAGCAAGACTTTATCTCTTAAAAAAAAAAAAAAAGGTCAAATACAGTGGCTCACACCTGTAATCCCAGCACTTTGGGAGGCTGAGGTGGGCCTACCACGAGGTCAAGGGGTGAAGACCATCCTGGCCAACATGGTGAAACCCCGTCTCTACTAAAAATACAAAAAATTAGCTGGGTGTGGTGGCGCGTGCCTGTAGTCCCAGCTACTCAGGAGGTTGAGGCAGGAGGATTGCTTGAACCCAGGAGGTGGAGGTTGCAGTGAGCCAAGATGGTGCCACTGAACTCCAGCCTGGTGACAGACCAACACTCTGTCTCAAAAAACAAACAAACAAAAAGAAAGAACTTGCTGGAATGTAAGGAAAGTCTAGTCCTGACATGGTTAATGTCACATTCAGGCACATGTAAAACTCCATGGCCAGAAAGCTTTGCAAGACTTCAGACTAAAATAACAAAATTTGGTAAAATGCAGGAAAATAAACCATTTGTTCTATATACCACTTATGTGTTTTGAGTTTTTTTCCAGTAGCTGCTGTGTTTTAGGTTCCTTTGTTTAACTTGTCTTAATCTCGGTTCTTTTCCTGTTTATCCTCCCAACCCCCCAACCCCCACCCTGCAGAAAAGGACAGGGGCGGCCCGAGTGGGCGATATTTGGGAGACTTACTGAACACAATGAGACGATTTTGTTCAAAGAGAAGTTTCTGGATTGGACGGAACTGAAGCGACCGCATGAGAAGAACCCCGGGGAGCTTGCCCAGCACAAGGTATCCCGGCGACCAGGTCTCAGCCTCGGGGCTTGGTTCGGGTCCCAGCAAAAGTGGCCTTGATGTAAAATGATCAAATCAGGTGGTTCGCATGACCGTCACCTCAGATTTATCAATTCTTTGTGGTGAGAACATTCAAATCCTCTCTTCTAGCTGTTCTGAAATATGCAATACAGTGTTGGGGACCGTGGCCTATCGTGCCGTAGAAAAGTAGCTCGTTCCTCGCTGATTGTCACTCTGCACTGTTGGCCAACATCTCCCAACCCTCCCTTTGCTCCCTCCTTCCCTCACCCCCTCCCCATAAAACAGATGCCAGTATCAGCACATCAAATTGTACACATAAAAATATGTCAACTAAAATACTTTTTTAATTAAAATAAACAAACATACACACCCTTAAAGCTAGGAAGCCTTCCCCAGACTCACGAGTAGAAGCAGACTGGCCTCCATTTCTAACCTGACTCCAGGAGGTGAAGAGTCTGGTTTGCACCTGTTCTTGGGCATCCATGTACTGTTGTGGCAATGGTTGTTCAGACCTCCCAGAGTCTTCCTGGAACTGCAGCCTTTCCCTCACTGCAGCTAAGCATCCTGGGACAGAGTGTGGAGGCTGTATTTTTTTTTTTTTTTGCAGTGGTGCAATTATAGCTCACTGCAGCCTTGACCACCTGGGGAACCTGTATTTTTATGCTGTCTCATAAATGGTTGAAGCAGCATTGTGACAAGGAATGGCTGTGGAAACAGGCAACCTTCATGTTCCCCTGTAGGAAGACCCCAGGGCTGATGTCAAGCCGTATGACGTGACGCGGATGGTGTCCATGCCCCAGACGACAGCAGGCACCATCCTGGACGGGGTGAACGTCGGCCGCGGCTATGGCCTGGTGGAAGGGCACGACAGGAGGCAGTTTGAGATCACCAGTGTCTCCGTGGATGTGTGGCACATCCTGGAATTCGACTATAGCAGGCTCCCCAAACAGAGCATCGGGCAGTTCCACGAGGGGGACGCCTATGTGGTCAAGTGGAAGTTCATGGTGAGCACGGCAGGTTAGTGAGCGCTCGTGGTTTCTTCCAGCTGAAAGAGGCTGGCCGGCAACCCTGCGGGAGTTGTGGTGCCCTCTGCTGTGTTCGTGCGTGCAGTGGGGCACTCCAGTCATGTGTCTTTGAGAGCCACTTAGCAAACCACAGAGGGGAAAAGGAGTAAAGGAGTAAGGCCGAATCCCTAACCGCTTAGCCTTGCCGAGGCCGATGGTGTTCACCTGTAGAAATTGACTTGCACGTCAAGGCTTCCTGGCTCCCTCTCTCCCTCCCTGTCCCTGTCCCCAGAGCTGTTCTGGGAAAGCGATGATTGGCCTCTAAATGATTTCTCAAGTGCGTGTATGCTGCTTCAATTAAAGTCATTAAGTAGAGAATATCTTTGTGATTTAAAGCTGGAGCCAAATGGTGCTGTAACGTTACAGTAAATACACACACACAAGGTTGATTTGAAAAGTAAGAGGCTGTTTCTCCCAAGGCTGAGCGCACAAGTGGCCTTTGTAGGTCTGGTTTAGTACAGTCTAAACTCTCCTGGGTTGCTGTTGGTGACGTGCCCGATTGCAAAGCACTCACCTGGATGCTTGAAGCTGGGGGCGGGGGAGTCAGGTGAACTCTGGAGAAACCATCCAGGTCTTTGCCAAGGAGGAGCCTTCCTGCAGCGCTCCTCACCCCTCCCACGTAGGACAGCATGCAGGTCGCAGCTCTGTGACGTCAACTCAGCAGAGTCTTTTGGCCTCTTTACAGCCCCCTTGCTGTGCAGGTGCGCCCACCCCGGCGCCACAGGAGGCACAGGCTGATCAGACACCTGCAGGCAAGGAACCACGTGATTTATTTCCTGATTTACACAAGATGCGTCTGTGCATCAGCTGGCATTCCCTGAGCACCTACTCTATGGGAGACACTTTTTGTAGGGACCAAGTAAATATTTCAGGTCCTATCTCCAAGATGCACATGGTATCAATGACATAGAGCAAGTGCAGGAACAGCCAGCAGGTGACCTTACTGGGCACTGGGTGGTGGGGTTGTGTGCTGTGCAGAGCCCGGTTGTGGCCCAGAGGTTCGCCCCCACCCCCTGGGGCAAGATGCTGGATCTTTACTTGCCTCTAGCTGAGGGCCTCCCGGGCTCCCTGAGACTGGTTCTGTTGTGATGCTAATTTCTCAGATGAGGACCAGGACAATAAGATCAAGGAACCTGCCTGAAGCCACACAGCTAGCAGAGAGTTGAGCTGGGCACTCACATCCAGGGGCCCTCTTTTCAAATCCAACCATGCTGTTAACCCGCTTTGTGGGCAGGGAGTCAGAGGGGGGCTCAGCACAGGATGTGGGGAGCCGTGAGTTTGGCTACAAGGAGAGGCCAAAGAGCGCAGTCACCAGATCAGGGAGTAGGTCAGGGTTGAACCAGCAGCAAGGCGACTTGAGGCTGGCTGCTGAGCACACCAAACTTCAGGGAACCCCAGTGAGAAGGACATTTCTTTCCTTTTGTTCTTTTGTGTGTGTATGTGTGTGACAGGTCTTATTCTGTCTCCCAGGCCAATGTGCAATGGCAGAATCGCGGCTCATTGCAGCCCTAACCTCTCAGGCTCAAGTGATCCTCGTGCCTCAGCCTCCCAAGTAGCTGGGACTACAGGCACCTGCCACCGTATCAGGCTTTTTAAAATTTTTTGTAGAGATAGGGTCTCACTGTTGCCCAGGCTGGGTTCAAACTATGCTCCCACTTCAGTCTCCCAAGGGGAGCAGCATTTCTCATCTACTTAATTTCTTATGAGCAAGCAACTGGAACTGCTCCTTTCCTTTTTTAATAAGGAGGCATGTCCCCTGAGGGAAGATGTCAGGCACTGGGACCCTATAGCCTAGGATTCAGAATCTCAGGCCCTTACTTACCAGCTACGTGGGTTGAGTAAAGTTACCCCGTCTGAGCCTTGGTTTTCTCACCTGGAAAGGAGGGATTATAATACTCAGCTCACAGGACTTTATGATGTTGAGCAGGTGCCGGGCCTGTGTTCACACTGCAGGTGCAGGAAAGACTCATCACTGACACTGTCAGCAAGAAGAGCATAATTACTGTTTTTAACTTGAAAGTGAGATAACGTGGATCTCCCCAAAATAATGGCAATTTCCAAAGAGTCACTGTCATGGATTTACGCTCTTGCTCTCATGCGGAGGTGGCATGTGCAGTGATAATTAATCTCTGATGTGGTTACCAGTGATGACGGTAATAGGGAACGGAGTGTGTTTCGGGGCGGGCGGATCTCTCAGCCTATGGAGTAACAGAACTGGGAACTTTAAAGAAGAAACTAAACGCACTTGTAGTGCCCCTTCCTAAAATGCAAAAAGGGAAATCGTGTTTATAAAACCAGGCATTTTCTTACCTTAGCTGTTACGAGGGGTGCGGGGGGAAGGTAATAGTGAGTAGATGAATGAGTAAAACCGTTAAAGTGAATTAATTAAAAATAAAGCTAAGAGTTCAAAGACTTTCACAGACTACTGACTTGGAGGCTCCTAGGAAATATGATTTGACCCAGGTCAAATTTCTTCCCAATAAACACAATGGACATCTCACAGCCAACTCCAATGGTACCTTTGCAGCAGACTTACAACTTTGAAAAAGTCCAGCTTTAGAGAATTAGGATAGAGCATGGAGCATTCAGATTCCAGACCGTCCCTCCAGCAGCTGGAAAGCACAGCCCAATGGCACTTGCGGTGACTCCGCAGCCAATGCGGAAGCTCTAGCCCCTTGGTGACACTAGTCTGGCTCCTCCATCACTTGCACCCACAAGGGCCACACCTGCAAACAAGACTGAGTCAGAGCTCAGGGAGCACTTCTGGGAGGTCAGCAAAAAGCAGTGGTTGTGCAGAGGGTACAGCCTCTGCTTGGCCAATGCCAGCCAGCCTGCTACGGTCAGTGTCCTGGCCCAGTGTCTGCAGGGCAGGGTTGCTTGCACCCCAGCAGGGTCAGGAGACAGATGCTCCTGGTGCCAGGAATGCTGAGCCAGGCTTCCCCAGGGCGTGACAGAGGCTTAATTCCTATAAATTAGAGGTGGCTCTGGTTTGAGAATAATTAACATGAGCAGTCTTTACACCTCTGTTTCTGTTATTCCTAACAAGCACTCCTGGCACAAAACTCACTCTTGAAAGTACCTTGATGGCATAACATGTCCAAACTTTAAATTAGGTAACTAATCAAGGTTGTAAAGAGAATAGTCCTTAAGTCCTTACCACTGAAAATTTAATCTTTACATTGCTGAAATTAAAAATGAACACACATATGAAAAATTAAGTTGCATACAGGACTGAATTTGGATATGTGAAGAACACTAGTGAAATGCCTGCTTCATAAAATATCTTTAAAGAAATAAAATTCTAGACTCACACCTGTAATCCCAGAGTTTTGGGAAGCTGCTATGGGAAAATCACTTAAGGGCACGTGTTTGAGTCTAACCTAGGCAACATAATGAGACCCTGTCTATACAAAAAAAAAAAAAAAAATGAGCCCAGCATGGTGGCATGCACCTGCAGTCCCAGCACCTGGGGAGCCTAAGGCAGGAGGATCACCTGAGCCCAGGAGTTCAAAGGTGCAGTGAGCTATGTTCATACCACTGTACTCCAGCCTGGGCAACAGAGCAAGACCCTGTCTCTAAAATAGAAGTAATTTTAAAAGGAGATACAATTCTATTTGGGTATATACAAGTCAATTTACAATGTTAGGATATGATGTTGATTACTTAAGTGTGAATATGTATTTACACAATGTATTTGGGTGCTTACAAATTTCACGGTCTTTATACACTGTTATATCTATTTGAAACATATCTTTCCTCAGTAATCTATTTCGTGAAACAAATTTTCACTTTTGAAGAATGGGATTGCTATTCAAAGGCAAAGTTTTGTTGCTTGGTAAGCAGAAATTTCAATTAAGTGGCTTCCAAATTAATTGTGGGATTTATAATCTAGTCATTGATGGTTCTTATTTTATTTTTCCCTCTCAAAAACACCCAAACTGAACCAGTTTAGACCACAGTGGATGGTACGAAAGGCTGTGTTTAGTCATAATACTTTTAAGAAATTATTCGAATCATTTAAGAAATCTGTTACAGATACCTTACCAAGCAAAGAGATAAAAATCAAATAAATATGACCCCGACCTTTGAAGAACTTAAATGGGTTTTATAAAACACTATTTCCCTTTTTGCATTTTAGGATGGGGCACTACAAGTACCTTTACTTTGTTCTTTAAAGTTCCCAGTTCTGTTACTCCAAAGGCTGAGAGATCTGCTCACCCCTTCCAATCTCAATATAGTTGTAATATGGGAAATGGGACTGGAGCTGAGAAAAGTTATGGTGATATAAACCCAGGGACTCCAGTTATTCTCATTCCTTTTTAACTTGCGTGGGTGTTCCCATCAAATGCATTCTCCTGTGTTGACCCCCACTCCCGGAGATACCCAGGCCTTTGGGTCAAGAGCTTGGTCTGCTGGCCTCACTCAGCCTAGAAGCTTCTGCTTCCAGATCAGCATTATTCGCGCCTGCACTCCCCACCTCCTCAGAAAGGCCTTCCCTCAGCAGCCGTCCCATGAGCCCGACCCTGCCAGGCATCACATCCTTATCTCTTGTCCTCATTGCACTTATCACTATCTGAAATCGTCTTGCTCGTCTCTTTATTAGAACAAAAGCACCGAAGTTGTGTGTCTCGTTCATCATTGTAGCCCAGAATCCTGAAGTCCTGGCTCAGTGAATATTTGTTGAATGCGTGAATGAATGAAGGGAATCTAGAGTGAGACATATTCTTACAGGTAGAGATTTGGATGTCTGCAATGACATCTAAAATGTCCATTTGGCCTATAATTCTAGTACTTTTGGAGGCTGAGGTGGGAGAATCACTTGAGGCCAGGAGTTAAGAGACCAGCCTGGGTAACAGAGTGAGATCCTATCTCTACAAAATGTTAAAGATAAAAATTAGCCAGGCATGGTGATGCATGCCTGTAGTTCCAGTTATTCAGGAGGCTGAGGTGGGAGGATCACTTGAACTTAGGAGGCTGAGGTTGCAGTGAGCCATGATTGTACCACTCTGCTCCAGCCTGGATGACAGAGGGAGACCCTGTAACCTCCCCATGACTGCTCTCCACACCAAGAATCTCATCTGCCCAGTGTGCTGCCCATGTTTACTGAGTGCCTGTGTGGTGCCAGCCAGGACAACTATCAGCTCTTAATCCTGGCAGCAGCCCTGGTGACAGACATGAAATCCCAGATTCATTTATGTTCAACTGACATGTCAGCAACCTATGTCCCCAATTTCTGACAGAACTGGAACACTTCAAAGGTGTGTTTTTTCCTAGAATAGTTTTAACAACCCGTTTGTGCTTAAAGCTGATCCAGCTATTGTTTTTAATATCTTTTCTCTACCAGCTAATCTTTTGCCAAAAAGTAGCGTAACGTGGAAAACTTGTTTGTGAGCCCTTAGTCCTGCTCTGGCAGTCACCAAATACCCAAATGCTTTATTTATTTGTAAGGGAGTCTCACTCCGTCACCCAAGCTGGAGTGCAGTGACACAATCATGGCTAACTGTGGTCTCAAACTCCTGGGCTCAAGTGATCCTCCTGCCTCAGTCTCCCAAGTAGCTGGGGCTATAGGTGTGCAACACCATGCCAGGCTAATTTCTTTAAATTATTTTAGAGATGGGGTTTTGCTATGTTGCCCAGGCTGGTCTTGCACTCCTGGCCTCAAGCAGTCCTCCCAGAGCGTTGGGATTACAGGAGTGAGCCCCTCACCTGGCCTCACCACATAGTTTGAAGAAATTGCTGTGCTGCACACTTGGAGTGATCTGCCACCCCCTCCGGATAACAGGTGTTTTCTTGGGGCACCAGGAGGCCCCTGAGATCCTTTCTCTTCACGTTGGAGACTCTGGGTCAGGAGCTGGAAGGAAGGTGGTTTCTCTTTTCTCCTGGGCTTGGCCACCCTTCCCTCCAGTGCCAGTGGTTTGTCCCCATCCCCAGGCCTGACTCTCTTTGCCACTGGTCCTCGCCAGCCCTGGGAAAATGAGAGGGATGTTTGCTCCTCCTTGGGCAACTCAGCTGCTGACCTGTCCCTCTGCTGTTCTGTATTTGCAGTGGGAAGTCGCCAGAAGGGAGAGCACTCAGTGAGGGCCGCCGGCAAAGAGAAGTGTGTCTACTTCTTCTGGCAAGGCCGGCACTCGACAGTGAGTGAGAAGGGCACGTCGGCACTGATGACGGTGGAGCTGGATGAGGAAAGGGGGGCCCAGGTAAGTTTTGGGGAGCTTTGCACCCTAGGGACCAAGAGGAGCATCCTCTCCTGGGAGCTGATGATGCTCAGCCTGTTTCCTCCCAACACGATTCTAATGGAAGACCACGTCACCCAAAGCACGTCAGCCCTAGTCTGGCTTCTGCAGACTTCAGGCTGTGCCTCCCACTTCTTTAGTCCTCCCACTTTTTGTAAGATGATCCCAGAGAAAATGTACCTGCAAACAGGAAATTCACATGACAAGTGCAAATGGCCAATGGGTGACCTTGAAAGGTTTCCACCTAACCAATGAAGGCATTGTATATAAAACAAAGAGATGCCATCGCCCACTTCTTGAAATGGTAGTGATTTTTTAAAGAATAGATCCAGGGCTGGCAAGGATCCTGTGGGATGCGGATGCTGTGTTCAGGGTGAGAAGTGTAACGTGAATAGCCATCCTGAAATTTTGGCACGAGAACCTTAAAACTTTGATCACTTGTTCCACATACATGAATCTACCTGAATGTAAGAATTGGGAACGCCCATTACCTCACCTGCATTCATGGCAGCCTGAGTGGGTTTTCTGGAACAGATCAGACTGGGTCACTCGTTTGCTGTCAGCCACACACACTGCAGTCTAAGTGCCTTCCCAGAGCTTCAGCACCTTCGCAGTGGGCCCCAGGCACCTCTCCAAGCTCCTCTTGCTCCTCCCCTCCACCCAGGCCATGCCAGCCTCTTCCTGTTCCACTACTAGCTCCTTCCACTCACCTCCTGCTGTGTCCCATTCCCACTGTCTGGAAACTTCCCCTGCCTAGTCTGTGGCTCTCAGTCTCTGATGAGGCAGCTTTCTGTTCAAATGTCACCTGCACCCTCGCCCCAAGTTCTATCCAGAGCCTCCTCATTCTCTTATCATTCTCTGTCCCTGTGCTTTATCCCTTTATTTTCACAGCACTTCCTGTCACCTAAAGCACATGATCCCCAGGAGCACAGAAACCCTGTGGCCCTGGCCTTACAACCCCATGGCCTTATAACCCCAGGGCCTGCATCTTGCCTGGCAGGGACTGCTGCCCAGATCAGAGGCCTGTAAACACGTCTCTTTAACATTTGGATGATCTATGCCTGAGTCTCATCTGCTCAGTACTAGTACCAGCAATTAAGAGTTACACTGCTGAGTCCCAGCAATTAAAGGTTAACTATGGGATTCTTGGAAAACAGGACAATGCCATGTGTAAATCTCTTTATTCTCCTGGATGAATGATTAACAATAGCAGGAGGGAAGACAGCAGAGACAGACATTTTCGCCAGAAATGGATCAATACTCACCCAGCTTTGCAGTCCTAAGAACCAATCACGTTCCCTAAAAAGTATTTCCTACTGGCCAGGCATGGTGGCTCACGCCTGTAATCCCAGCACTTTGGGAGGCTGAGGCGGGTGGATCATGAGGTCAAGAGATCGAGACCATCCTAGCCAACATGGTGAAACCTCGTCTCTACTAAAAAATACAAAAATTAGCTGGGCATGGTGGCACGCGCCTGTAGTCCCAGCTACTCGGGAGGCAGAGGTAGCAGTGAGCCGAGATAGCGCCACTGCACTCCAGCCTGGCACCTGGTGACAGAGCAAGACTCTGTCTCAAAAAAAAAAAAAAAATTTCCTAGTATGGACTATATTTTAGAAATGATATTGGCAACAGGTGCATTTTAATTTATTCCTAATATTGAGTCATTTCAACTACACTTTTTTTTTTTGTAAACGCTCTAAATGAATATGCTTTTATCATGCCTTCAAAATCATCCTCAGTTTTGACTCAATCTATTGCACTTAAGCATTTTACTTGTTATCAATCCAGTGGATGGAAAATCATTTTATTTGTATTTGTATTCTTTTGAGACAGGGTCTCACTCTGTCACCCAGGCTGGAGTGCTGTGGCACCATCACCATTCACTGCAACCTCGACCTCCCAGGCTCAATCTTCCTTCCTTCCTCAGCCTCCCGAGTAGCTGGGACATAAGGGGTGTACCACTACAGGCACGAGCCATGGTCCAGCCCTGGAAAATTTTAGATATGAAATACTGCCATGAAATGGCGACTTGTTATGCCAAATGGGCGCTGAGACTGATATATTAACTCACAGTGGGAAATGCTTCCTCTCAGTGCTCCCTGACTACCAGCTCCAGGAAACACTGCCTCTTTTAAGGGAAAAGTGTCCTAGAGGGAGCTGACTCAACCCTAACTTTATTCATGGTACAGATAACATCTGAAGGAAGAGCCTTCCCTAACAGCCAATGGAGAGACTGAGTGGACTGCTGGAGTGGCCACAAACCGTACATTTTCCCCAGAATGATTACTAAATCAGTGATGAGTCGTTTTCAGTAATGAGAATGACATCTTGTTAAGAACGTGTTTCTATCAGTCTCGTTACATCAGTAACCACAGAATACCATTAAATATCAGGGGTCATGTTTTTAAAGAATATTCCATGATAGAACAACATTAAGTAAAGAAAACGAGGCTATACATCCTTATAAAATATAAGTCTCCTACTTTGTTTAGGAAAAGAAGACACTCCCTAACACCGAGAGGAGGTTGCACACTCCAGTTTGCAAAGCTTCTCTTCTCTTTAGGCCCTAGTGTTGGAACTGGCTTTTGTTTGTACATCTTCATATTTTTCACATTTTCTGTGAGAGGCATGTATTGTTTTTAGGACTTTGAAAGACCCATGCCCCTTACCTATTTACCTCTGTTTAAATTTGAAGGTCCAGGTTCTCCAGGGAAAGGAGCCCCCCTGTTTCCTGCAGTGTTTCCAAGGGGGGATGGTGGTGCACTCTGGGAGGCGGGAAGAGGAAGAAGAAAATGTGCAAAGTAAGTCATTTTTACTGCTGGAATTCAACTTTGTCTTTCCCTCTCTTATTAGCTGGGGCTGAAACTGAGTCTGTCTTCATCTAGCTGTGGCTCTCCCTCTGAAAGCCTCCTGTTTTCCTGATAACTCAACTCTGGGTGCTCGTGACCCGCCTCTCCCTGGGGGATTCACCTTTGCATGAAGGAGGCTGGAAAGTGACCTCTTTTCCTCTGTCTGCTTGTTTTAGGAGGAAGAAAAATCAGTGGCTCTTTCTATTATAAAGTATGAAATTTGTGTTGGCCAGCATCCAAAAAAATTTTTTAGCTCTAGTGCCTTTTAAAATATGTCTGTTACAGAACTTACCGTGTAAACCTTGGAAAATGTTTTGTCTATTGTGAACTTCAGATCACCTGCTTCTAACTACATAAGAACCCACTTTCTGGGTTGGCAGGAAGTCCTGATGCCTCAGTGCTTGGCAGGGTTCAGCCCTCCAGTCCCTTAAGTCCCTGGCCATGGACAGAAGTGGCCGCTGTGGACAGCACAGCAGGCACCAGAAAGGACCTAGTTTGTTTTCACTCGCTCACATCGTAATTCCTACATGCCGCTGGTGCCCCCTGCAGGTGAGTGGAGGCTGTACTGTGTGCGTGGAGAGGTGCCCATGGAAGGGAATTTGCTGGAAGTGGCCTGTCACTGTAGTAGCCTGAGGTCCAGGACTTCCATGGTGGTGCTCAACATCAACAAGGCCCTCATCTACCTGTGGCACGGATGCAAAGCCCAGGCCCACACGAAGGAGGTTGGAAGGACCGCTGCAAACAAGATCAAGGAACAGTGAGTGTTGTGTCTGCGGCGAGCCCCCGACACACCAGGCTTCCCAGAGAGACGGGGCAGGCTCAGGAGTCCCAAGACTCCCAGCAGATCCTGGGGTGCTGAAAATGACTGCAGCAAGGGATGGCTGGGAACATGGTCAGGGGCCTCTGACACTCAAGCAGAGAGGATGCACATCTCAGCCCAGACCTCCGACTTGGGGGCCGCCTCACCGCGGTCTGAGGATTTACCGGGCTTAATTCTTTAAGGACATAGGAGCTTGTGAGGAGTTTTCTAACTCGTTTTAAAGTTTTCTAGATGTCTTATCCATACAATTTCTCTTTTTTTGAGATGGAATCCCACTCTTGTTGCCCAGGCTGGAGTGCAGTGGGGCAATCTCGGCTCACTGCAACCTCCGCCTCCTGGGCTCAAGCAATTCTCCTGTCTCAGCCTCCCGAATAGCTGCGATTACAGGAGCCTGCCATTGCACCCAGCTAATTTTTTTGTAGTTTCTAGCAGAGACCGGTTTCACCATCTTGGCCAAGCTGGTCTTGAACTCCTGACCTCGTGATCCATCCGCCTCGGCCTCCCAAAGTGCTTGGATTACAAGCGTGAGCCACTGCACCCAGCCTAAAAATGTCTATAATGTTCATGACATATTAATGTGATCATACATCCCTCCCTAGGGGTCAAATAAACTTCTCCACCACCACAGTCACAACTGCAGAATATTTTTTCATTCGTAAGAATTGCTTTTCCTTAGAAAGTAGAAGAGATAGTGAACTGATCTCCAGATTTAGTTTTGAATACTTTTGTGTCTGCACCCCATAAATATATATATACCTACTATTAGTATATACCCACAAATATAAAATTTTTTTAAAAGGCAGACAATAACAAGTATTGGCGAGGATGTGAAGTTGGAACCCTCACACATTACTGCAGAGGTTGTAAAATAGTACAGCCACCTTGGAAAACAGTGTAGCAAATCCTCTAAAGATTTAACCATACAGTTACCATATGACTAGCAACTCTACTCTGAGGTATCTACCCAAGAGAAATGAAAACACTTGTACATGAAAGTTCATAGCAATATTAGTCATAGTGGCCAAAAGGCAGAAATAACCCAAATATCTACCAATGCATTAGTGGATGAAAAAAATGTGGCATCACAGCATATTATTATTCTGCCATAAAAAAGAATTCAGTACTGAGACATGCTACAACACGAACGAACCTTAAATACATTATACTAAGTAAAAAAATAGTCACAAAGGACCATATAATTCCATCTGTATGAAATGTGCAAACTAGGCAAATCCATCAATACAGAAGCAGACAAGTGTGTTCTGAGGACTAAGGAGGGGAATGGGAGTGACTGCTTATGGGCAGAGGGCTTCTCTTTCCAGGGGATGAAAATGTTCTGAAATTGGTGATGACAGTTGCACAACTCTGTGTATACTAAAATCTGTACACATAAAGAGTGAACTTTATGACATGCGAATTGTATCTCAGTAAAGCTATTATAAACCTGTTATTGTAATAATAATTCTGTGTCATGAACACTCTCCAGACTTAAAAAGAATTCTTGGAGTTTCTCCCTTGCAGATGCCCCCTGGAAGCAGGACTGCATAGTAGCAGCAAAGTGACCATACATGAGTGTGACGAAGGCTCCGAGCCCCTGGGATTCTGGGATGCCTTAGGAAGGAGGGACAGGAAAGCCTACGATTGCATGCTTCAAGGTAATTAATGCGTCATCCACAGCCTGCAATCCAGTTCTTTTGTTTTTGGAAATAAGAGTCTTGCTCTGTTGCCCAGGCTGGAGTATAGTAGTACAAACACAGCTCACTGCAGCTTCAACCTCCTGGGCTCAAGTGATCAGCCTACCTCAGCCTCCCAAAGTGCTGAGACTGGAGGCATGAGCCACTGTGCCCCATTCATGTTTTATCTTAATTCTTCAGCCTATCATAAATCTAGTGTGATGAGTACTATGTCCAGCTGATCGAACAGTTCTTTTCTCCCCAGGGGTGAGTTTAACTTGGACACCAGGATTTCAAATTCCCACTGGCAATTCAGCTCCCAAAAGTTCCAGGGGACCATGCCAGTATCCTAACTACTCCGTAATGCCCCTCAATGTTTTAAACTTTTATATAGCTTTTTAAACATAATGCCTAGGAAATGTTTGAAATTATACAGAAGTTTAAAAAAAAAAATGAAGTCACTTATGATCACCTCTCAGGACTATGCTGTATATAACTATTTTTAAAAATAAAATGTGGACCTACTGTTTTGTAACCTTTTTTCCTTTATTATGCATAATCTCCCAAGATATTAAAATGTGGATTTCTAACGGCTGCAAGATACTCTATGATTACTCTGCAAATATACCACTCTACCTGACAGTCTCTGGTAGCTGAGGAGTTGATTCTTGTTTCTGATTTTTCTCCCTTGTAAAATAATGCAGTTTGAATACTTTTTAAAATAATCGTATACTTTCATTTCTAATTGAGAGGAATTCTTAGATGTGGAACTGCCGTGCTAGTTACGAAAGTCTTATAGCATGTGTCAGCACGGGCCAAGTTTCATTCTCACTTGCAATATACAAAAGTACATTCTCAGCACAATCATAAATTCAGCATATTTTTTCCTCTTTGCCAAATTGATGAAAGGAGACAGATAGCTAAGCGTTGTTTTGTTTTACTTAGAAGTACGTATATATGTATATAAATGTATAATATATACAAATAAAATATATGTATATTTGTTATATAACATGCATATTTGTTACATATGTATATATTTTTTAGCCATTTTAATTTCTACTTTGGTGAGTGTTCTATTTGTGTCTTTTGCACATTTTATTGGGAGATTTATGTTTTTTTAATGTATGCCCCTTCATGTATTAAAGATATTAACTAGTTGCTGTATTACAAATATTTCCCATTTGTGACTTGGTTTTTTTCAATTTTGCATTTTAATTTTTATATAATTAATGTATTATTTCCCTTTTGATTAGTTCTTTTACTATTGCAATTGAAAAGGTCTTTTCCACCTTGAAGCTCAGATAAATCCTGTTTCCACAGTGCACTTAATTATTTCATGTTTTCATTCTTCATCTGGAATTTACTTTGCTGCATATGGTATCTTCAGCTTTGTTCTCTTTTCTTTCAAAGATCCTGGAAGTTTTAACTTCGCACCTCGCCTGTTCATCCTCAGCAGCTCCTCTGGGGATTTCGTAGCCACTGAGTTCGTGTACCCCGCCCGAGCCCCCTCTGTGGTCAGTTCCATGCCCTTCCTGCAGGAAGATCTGTATAGCGCGCCCCAACCAGGTAAGCCTTGCAGGAGGCAGCTACGCTGAGCAGCAGAAGGCACACCTTCCAGGAAGCCTTTTGATTTTACATCGGTATTCATTAAGCAGCTTCTCTTTGCCACGTACACTCCCAGAACACCCAGAACAATATGTGCTTATGCTATTTCATCCGCATCTCTACACCAGAAGGAGGGTGAAATCAGCCACACATTATATAGCATAAGGAACGAGGCTCAGTTACTTAACCCACCCAAAGATGTCTGCTAAGAAGTTTGAGTGCCACAGTGGCAGAGCTGGCATCTCTGCTCTTCTCCCAGCCTTCCTCAGTCTTGTTGCAGCATGGTCACCCGTCAGCTGCCACTGCTCCAGCCATCATGTTTGCATTCAAGACAGAGAAAGAAGGGGTAAGGAAGAGCACTTATAGCCACATCTCTTTTTAATCAGATAAAGCACGTTTTCCCAGAAGCCCCCAGCACTTCTGCATATGTCCCATTGGCCAGAGCTTGTCACATGGCCAACCCCAGCTGCAAGGGAGCCTGGGAAAGCAAATGGCAGGGGAGAAGGGTGTTGGGGTGTCAGCTAAGTTAGCCAAGGAACAGGGTCCACCATACCAAGGCTCCACAGCAGAGCCAAGATTCCAGCCCAGGTCTTCTGATTCCAAGGTCAGGGCTGTTCCCACCAGGCTACCACCTCAAGACAGAAACCCTTGTGCCCTCATTCTGGTTGGGAAAGTCATAAGAGGCTGGGCTTGACAGCCCCTCCAGCCCGCCCTCGTTTGCTGCTTCTCACATTACAAGAGCCCGGGGCCTGACCTCGCACTGGGAGCCCAGGGCACCACTGAAAGTTTGACCTGTGCACATGCCATGCCTGGAAAATCTTAGTGACCAGAAAGAGAGGTCTTGCCCACACCCTTCGTCCTGGAGCTCAGGGTCGGTCACCAACCTCCACTGGGCTTTTAAAGTGTGGTTCCTGACTTCTGAAATTAATGCCAGGAAAGGACACATGGTGAGCTGAGCTAGCAAGAATGAGAGGCATTTTTGGCATGGCAAGTTAAGAGCAGGCTGACGATTTGAAGAGGAGAAAAAGTGAGGAGGAAAAGACAGCAGAACAATTTTAATTTTTATTTCTTTTTTTTTTTTTAAGAGATAGGGTTTCACTCTGCCATCCAGGCTGGAGTGCAGTGGTTCAATCACGCCTCACTGCATCCTCGAACTCCTGGGCTCAAGCAATCCTCCTTCCTTAGCCTCCTGAGTAGCTGGGACTACATGCATGCATCACCATACCAGGCTAATTTTTTTTTTCTTTTTGTAGAGACAGGGTCTCACCATGTTGCCCAGGCTGGTCTTCAACTCCTGGGCTCAAGGAATCCTTCCGCCTCAGCCTCCCAAAGCACTGGGATTACAGGCGTGAGCCACCACTCACAGCAGCAGTTTTGATTTTAGACCCATTTCTCTGTAAGAGAACCATGAGCTCACCTCACTGCTAAGCAGTCACACGCAGGGCAGGAACGCCACTGACCTCTCTGCAGTGAGCTGTACGCACCAGTGTTGACTGCTCTTTGGAGATGGCGTGGCGCTGACAGCCCCTTGAGTGGCACATCCATCATCCCTTCCACTCTCAGCACAGCCCTGCCAGCATCCAAAAGCATTACATGGGCTTGAGCTGGAGCAAAGATGGGAGGACCTGGAGGACGAGGAATGAAAGAGGCCAACTCCTTGATACCACCTCTCTCTGCCTAGAGGCTTCTCTCAGTTGAACTTTCAGAGGGCTGGGTGGGACACTGTGTTTGCCCCTTTGTCCCTAGGGTGAGAGCCAAGGGGATTTCCCCCATGACACAGCAGTGGGGAGGAGCAGCATCCATTAGGTTTGGGAAAAGTCAGCTGCAAGTGTCCGCGAAGGAGCTCCTGATGCTCGGGCTCTGTCCCTCCCTCACAGCGCTTTTCCTTGTTGACAATCACCACGAGGTGTACCTCTGGCAAGGCTGGTGGCCCATCGAGAACAAGATCCCTGGTTCTGCCCGCATCCGCTGGGCCTCCGATCGGAAGAGCGCGATGGAGACTGTGCTCCAGTACTGCAAAGGTGAGGCTCCCTCTAACGTGCCTGCAGCAGGGAGCAGATGGGGGAGCCCCTCAGGCACGCCCAGCCAGCAGACCACCTTCCCTTTCTGCACATGTCAGCCAGCATTTATAAAGCCTGGCAAGTGGTGATGAAACCCATTTTTTTCCCCTTCAACTTTCTGAGATTTATTAACTTTTAGATTAGTGCAGTCTCAGCTGCCAGCATGAGGAAGAACTAATTTTTCTCTCTCATGAGGCCATCTAACGTGTTACCCTCAAGGATAAAGGCTGTATAGTAGAAAGCCCAGGGCAGACTGAAACCCTGTTATACTCGGGATTGATCATGCTGAGAGACAAGTTGGCCTCTGACGTGTACGTTATCTGCAAGCACTACCACGCTGTGGAGAATGGAAGTCTCCCCCAAATGGCGGATGGCCATTGCCAACCTTTTGATTATTTATTATTATTTTTTTTAGTATTATACCCAAAGAGAAATACCCATAGTAAGTTCATGGTTCTTTACTATACACATGAAATCTCTGGTCTTTTATGTAAAATGAAAATACCAGTAATTAATATCTTACTGAATTTTTATGGTTTAATTGACACAATTAGTTTAATATCACTGGGTATGTGCAATTGATTCTCTTCCTGAAAATCTCTTTTTTCAAGGGAAAACAGAGAAAGACAGTAGGGTCTACTGACATTGCATTCTGTGTTAACTACAGGAAAAAATCTCAAGAAGCCGCCCCCCAAGTCTTACCTTATCCATGCTGGCCTGGAGCCTCTGACATTCACCAATATGTTTCCCTGCTGGGAGCACAGAGAGGACATTGCTGAAATCACAGAGATGGTAAGCATTCTGTCCTGCGCCTTTTGGACTGTGGGTTGACTTTAATTTGGGGAGAGCATCCAGTTGCACTTTCAAAGTGGGAAAATATTTTTCCTTTTGCAACATCTTAAGACTACATAGAATTTGCTTAGGAAGAAGAGAAGTCTAATGGGAAAATCAATTGAACTGTTTTAGTAATTTTCTATACAGTATACCCCATTTTAAAAACTTAAAAGCAAAGGTGAGTTTAATCATGCTGAGGACTATATATGTACATAAAAGCTGGAACTCTTTGTTCTGTTGCTAAGAACCTGTTGCTTGGCATTGCTTGTCTCTCAGTGTCCATATGACGAACAACCAAACCCTCAGGTTTCAGACGTTAACCTTGCGTAGAGGAGACGCACATGAAATGTGATGAATTAGTGTGTTCAGATAACTGAATGAAAGATGTACTGCGACTCACTTATGATAAGGTATCACCCAGCATCTCATTAATATTGTCTTTTTGGCTGGGTGCGGTGGCTTACACTTGTAAGCCACTTTGGGAGGCCAAAGCAGGCGGATCACCTAAGGTCAGGAGTTCAAGACCAGCCTGACCAACATGTAGAACCCTCATCTCTACTAATATAAAATTAGCTGGGCATGGTGGCAGATGCCTGTAATGTCAGCTACTTGGGAGGCTGAGGCAGGAGAACTGCTTGAACCCGGGAGGCGATGTTGCAGTGAGTGAGCTAAGATCTTACCATTGCACTCCAGCCTGGACAACAAAAGTGAAACTCTGTCTTAAAAAAAAAAATTGTCTTTTATGAGACCACCTGGTATTTCCACAAGGCATTTATCATAACTTCTATCTACCAAAATATTATCTAGAATGTTTTCTTTTCCAACCACACAGAAAAGAATTTTACTATAGCAATGTTCAATTCCTTATTTATGAGCTATTAACATTACTAGCAATAGCAATTCCAAGGATTTGTTTCGATTTGGTGAGAGATAGGTTTTACCATTTTGATTTTTTTTTTTTTTTTTTTACCATGTAGGAGAGCTGCTTTGCTTGGGGAAATAACCCAAGTGTATTTTATAGGAAATCTGAGTAATTTTAAACAGAGTCCACTTCTACGTAGCAATGGAGAGGGTCTGTTGGATAGTACAGACGTTACTGCTCACTCTAACCTGTCTCCTTGAAGCCAAATGGACTTGATTTCCACAGGGAAGGGGCTGATTGCAGCCTGGTCTATGCCGCAGTCAGAGCGAGATGGTTCTGTTTGCCATAACTATGGTATCATGAAACCAGAAGGCTCTGGGGATCGCAAGCCCTGTGGCTGCTGCATGCAGTCTAAGTTCAGGTGTTACCAAAGGCCAGGGGTTCAATCGAGGTCTCATTGTTCACTACGCAGAAGAAAGCCAATCACTGAGACAAGCAAAACCAGGGAAGAAAGTTTATTTGGGTGCTAATAGCCAAGGGGAACAGGACGTAAGTCTCAAATCTGTATCTCTGGCCTACTAAAACGAGGGTTTTTTATAGCAGGGAAGAAATGTAACCATGTATGGGAAACAGGAATTAGGGTGAGGAAGAGGAGTTAACAGAAAGCAGGGAGTTGGTTAGGCATGATGATGGGTGAGGGGTCTGGTAACATTTAGGTTTTGGTTTTGTTTTTGTTTATTGAGACAGGATCTTGCTGTGTTGCCTAGGCTGGGGTATAGGGGAGCAATCATGGCTCACTGCAGCCTCCGGCTCCCAGGCTCAGACAATCCTCCTACATCAGCCTCCCAAGTAGCTGGAACTACAGGCACACACCACAATGCCCCGCTAATCTTTTTGTATTTTCAGTGAGGTTTCGCCATGTTGCTCAGGCTGGTCTTGAACACCTGGGCTCAAGCCATCTGCCCAACTCACCTTCCAAAGTGCTGGGATTACAGGTGTGAGCCACTGCTGGCTTTCTGATACTATCAGAGTGGCCTAATGGTTGGCTTCCTGAGAAAGCAACTCAGATAAGACAAATAGAACTTTCTCAAGTTTCAGGACTGGGAGAGGTAATTTTGATGTTTATTTAAAAGAAACCATAAACATGAGTTCTGTGGGACAGTTGAGCCCATTTCAGAAGGATGTAACTCACCACCCTCTCTGTATTCACTATAGATCCTGGGGGTTGGCAGCGGGGGTGTTTACTGTTGTGCAGGCCTGTGGGATTCCAGTCAGGCTTCCCACACCAGCAAGTTATACAAATAATTAACATTCACCAAGTGCTCACTCTGCACTAGGCACAGCTCCAAGCACTTTACACTGATTTTCTCTTTTATCAACAGTCCATCCAGATCTATTTTACTATTACTCCCATTTTATTGGTGTGGGAGCAGAGTCACAAAAACATGAAGGCACTTGGCCAAAGTGACTTTTAGCGAGTGGAGGAGTCAGTACTTAGTTGGAGACAAGACTACTCCAAAACCCGCCTCTTCTTTTCTTACAGAAAGGATCTTGCTTTGTCACCCAGGCTGGAGTGTGGTGACACAATCATGGCTCACACAAACCTTGAACCCCTGGGCTCAAGAGACCCTTCCACCTCAGCCCCCCAAGTAGGTAGGACTACAGAAACATACTACATATGCCTAGCCTATTTTTGTATTCTTTGTAGAGACATGGTCTCACCATATTGCCCAAGCTGGTCTCCAAGTCCTGGGTTCAAGCAGTCTTGCCACCTCAGCCTCCTAAAGTGTTGAGATTACAGGCACAAGCCACTGCACCCAGCCCAAAACCTGCCTCTTGACCACCAGTCTGCCCCATATATTTCTGATTTGAGCACCAGCTCTTAGTCATCCATTCCCATCATCCACCCACCCAAAAGGAGAGCAGCCAATCTGGAGTCAGAAGTTTAATGGAGGAAGAGAATTTATCTAGAATAGCTTGCTCAGATTAAATTCATGCAGTGGTTTTTTAAAAACATGATTCTGCTCCAGTATATTCTACCTTGTGACCCTCTTTTTCTATTGTGGATTAAGAAATGGGGCGAGGGAAGGGAAGGAAGGTGTGATTTCTTTTCAGGTTATTTTTAAATATTTTTAAACAAATTTCATTATTTGGAGGCTTCTGGTATTTTGACTTCAAATCTACTAATCTTAGTCCGTAGTTCACTCATGGGAAAGTCTCAAAATGTTTTTCCAGAGGCAGTTCTGAGAAAGGGTTTGTTTGAAACTCTGTGACAAGGTGAGAAAACATCTAAAAGTCAGAGAAACAAGACTCTATCTCTACAAAAAAATTTCTTTTAATATATTAGGTGGGCATGGTGGCACGTGCCAATACTCCCAGCTACTGAGAAGGCTTGAGGTGAGAGGACTGCTTGAGTCCAGGAGTTTAAGGCTGCAAATAAGCTATGATCGAGCCACTTCACTACAGCCTGGGTGACAGTGAGACACTGTCTCTTAAAAATAACAAAATTTTGGGCCAAGTGTGGTGGTTCACACCTCTTTAATCCCTGCACTATGCCAAGCTGAGGCAGGAGGATCGCTTGAGGCCAGAAGTTTGAGACCAGCCTAAGCAACATAGCAAGACCCAGACTCTATCAAAAAAAAAAAAAAAAAGGAAAAATAAATTAGCCAGGCATGGTGATGCACACCAGTAGTCCCAGCTGCTCAGGAGGCTGAGGCAAGAGGATCACTTGAGCCCAGGAGGTAGAGGCTGTAGTGAGCTATGATCACACCACTGCACTCCAGCCTAGGTAGCAGAGTGAGACCTTGTCTCAAAAAAAAAATTTTTTTAATTTAAAATTTAAAATTCTTTTAAATTAAGAGTCCAGAGAGCTGCAGGGCTTTGGGCAATCCCTTATCTCAGAGCTGTTTCCTCAGTAACGTGGAGCAATGAGTCCTCAGGCTGTGTGCAGATGGCCCAGGACTGTGTGTTTGAAAGCACTTGATAGAATGTGTTCAAATGTGGGACACATTTCTCCTCTCTGCCCCCTCCTCTACTCTAGGACACGGAAGTTTCCAATCAGATCACCCTTGTGGAAGACGTCTTAGCCAAGCTCTGTAAAACCATTTACCCGCTGGCCGACCTCCTGGCCAGGCCACTCCCAGAGGGGGTCGATCCTCTGAAGCTTGAGATCTATCTCACCGATGAAGACTTTGAGGTAAGCGGTTCTTCCGCTGGGATGGGGATGGGACTAAAACAACACACGCAGCTGAGAGTCCTTTCACTGAGCCGCCGGTGTTTCTCCCAATGTTCCAGTTTGCACTAGATATGACACGAGATGAATACCACGCCCTGCCTGCCTGGAAGCAGGTGAACCTGAAAAAAGCAAAAGGCCTGTTTTGAGTGGGGAGATGCAGAGGAGACTCGAGGTCACGTCCAATACCTCCGCCCCAGGGAAATGGATATAGAGTTTTGGACTGGTGTTTTTCACAAAGTAGTTTTCCATCAGTTTTTAAAACCTGACATTGTTAAAGATACTGCTTGTCCCGGAGTTGTGTATTTTGTAAATGTTCAAGGAAACTGTTTGGAAACTTCTTTCCGCTGTTCAGCAGGTTATCAGAATTAATAAAAGTATTGTTATGTGCACTTAAGCCGCAGCTGCTATAGATAGCACTGCCTTCTGTTCCAGCTAGACAATGCCTTTTTTTTGAAGCAGTTCTCTTTATAAAGTGTTATTTTGATAGTTTGTGGATTCTAAAATATATATATATATTTATATAAACACCATATAAGTCAAATATGTATTTAGCAAAGCAATATGTATTCATTCACTTTCGAGATTTGTTTTGGTGTCAAAATAATATGAAAAGGTAGTTGGAGTTGCTTCTGTGGAATGAGCTCTGCCACCAATACGTATCTTCACACACGTTTGGAAACGTTTCCTGCAGCGTTAGGTATGACTTGTTCTGAGTACTGCTTCCGGTGCTAAAATGAACAAAGAATTTCTACTTAATGGCCTGGACTCTGGAGAATCTATGCGAATCAACCTTTCTACCTTAATATCTCCCCAAAAATGTATAGTGCCTTGTTTTTATGTACAGTTTATATACAGAACAGTTTGCTCTGCATTTTTGATGATGGTTCAGAACATTATCTACAATTTTACTCTCAAACAGTAAAAATAAAAACATCTCAATTTCTAATACCTGTTGTAAACATTACACATGTCATTTTGTGATACGGGACTCCCAAATAAGAGCATCAGAATAAACACAACAATGAACTGATTGGTTCACATTGAATTCCAAGCATGTTCCTTTCTGGAATATTTTTTTGTAAATATCAACATAGCACCAGTATTTGGTCATTAAATATAAATGATCTATACATTTGAATTTAGTTTAGGGCAAGATTTTATACAAGGTCATAGGATTAGATAGAGAGTTATTTGCCCCATAAAATTAGTACTTAGTACTATATTGAAGACATACTTCTGCAAATCATCATTCAGTAGAAGTTCTTTATCCCACAACTCTATCTACAGTTTGTTTTAGGATCTCAGTGCCTTTAAAAAAAAAATTGTATGGGCTGGGCACGGTGGCTCACGCCTGTAATCCCAGCCCTCTGGGAGGCTGAGGTGGGCGGATCACCTGAGACCAGGAGTTTGAGGGCAGCCTGGCCAAGATGGTGAAACCCTGTCTCCACTAAAAATACAAACATTAGTTGTGCATAGTGGCGCCTTCCGATAGTCCCAGCTACTCAGGAGGCAGAGGCAGGAGAATCATTTGAACCCGGGAGGCGGAGGTTGCAGTGAGCCGAGATCGTGCTACTGCACTCTAGACTGGGCAACAAGAGTGGGACTCCACCTCAAAAAAAAAAAAAAAAAAAGGAAATTCTATGGATAAGACATCTAGAAAACTTAAAAATGAGTTAGAAAACTCCTCACAAGCTCCTATGTCCTTAAAGAATTAAGTCCATGATTTTGAACATATTCTACAGACCTACTCTGAATTGTCATAGCTTTTCCCCACTCCCTGTTAGTCTAATTTAACACATCCAATCACAGCACATTTGCCTGAAACTTCAGAACTTCAGAAACCTATAACCTCTTCCTGGTCTCAACGTTTTATGATTTTTATGATGTTGGGTCATCACTGAACTTTTCTACCTTGATTTCCTTTAAAAGGAGACAATCCTAGCTCTGCCACCTGCATCACAAGATTCCGAGCAAGTATCTAGTGGAAGCTCTCTGAAAATTGCCAAGTGCTAGATATCTGCTGGTATTATGATCATTGTGATGGTAGCTGAAATATGAAAGCAGGAAGGTTAAGTTAGGGAGTGTCGTCACACACCTAGAAATGATGAATTAAACCAAAGCAAGGAAAGGGAAAAGGAGAGAGAGAGGTTCAAAGTCTAGGTCCCATATAGTCTGCGAAGAGGTGTGGAGAAAGGTTCCTGGAGTTGCTAGGGCAGCCTGAGGGTCAGAAAGAGAGAGGCAGGGTCACAACCTCAGCAGCAGGTTCCAGAAATCAGCCAGACTTTTAGACACCCAGGAAGGAGCTTGGGTTGCTAAAGGAACTTCCAGTGGAGAGCCGCTGTAATTAATAAACAAGATAGGTGTCCTTAGTAATACTCATTAACACCAGATTTTCCCATAGTCCTTTAAAATTGTGACTATCTACATCGGCAGCTGGGTACAGTGGCACATGCCTATAATCCCAGCACTTTGGGAAGCTAAGGCAGGTAGATCACTTAAGGTCAGGAGTTTGAGACTAGCCTGACCAATATGGCAAAACTCAGTCTCTACTATAAATAGAAAAATTAGTTGAGTGTGGTAGCACACATCTGTAATCCCAGCTACTTGGGAGGCTGAGGCACAGGAATCGCTTTGAGCCTGGGAGGCAGATGTTGCTGTTAGCCGAGATCGCACCACTGCACTCTAGCCTGAGTGAGAGACATTTTGTCTCAAACAAAAACAAAAACCACTGATCCCCAAAATGTGCTGTCCATCCACTTCTTGCCTCTTCATGGTGAATAAGACACCCCAGCTTGGAGAGCCTCTTTTTGCCTCTTACCCTCTAAATTGTTTCCCACATCTCTTTCCTGCTTAAAGAACCAGATCGTATTTTCCGTTTTTTTCTGATCCTTTTCCTTCCATAACTGCAACCTTTGACCTTTGTATTCTGGGAAGGGACCTAGCTGAAACACTGAATCACTAAACTCTCAAGTCTCTGCCCGTGGATTGACAATGGTGCTTGGGGCTTTTCTCCAGTCTTCCAAACTCAAACCCCTGCTCGTACTCAATGAAGCAGGGTCAGGAAAGTGGGGTTTCCTTAATTTGCTGCTCTTGAACTAAGGGACTCATGAGAGGGGTGGGTGTTGGGGTTGAGATCCATATAAGGAGCCACAGGCCAGATGGGATGTTGAGTGTGTTCTGAGCTTTGGATAACTGTGTGACTATGAGCCATTTCCAGAGTGGGACGATGGCACCTCTTTGTTCCCGGATCTGAGGAAGAAAAGGCTGTTGGGAGCTCACTCCTTTCTCTCCTATTTTATATTTCCCACCCCACTCTTAGAACTCACATTTTGGTAAAAGGGAAAGTATTCCAGAAACAGTTCCAGAATTCATTTTGGCCTTTTGGTTTTGTTTTTCTGATTATAAAATTAGCAGTGTGTGTCCACACAGAGACCTGGACACACATGTTCATAGCAGCTTTATTCCTAATAGCTCTTTCCTGTAAACAACCCACATGACAGTCAACTGAGAAACGGAAAGACAAAATGCAGGACCTCCATACGGTGGCATCCTCCCTGACGGCAAAGGGACAGATATCCTGCATATACACGATATACACGTGATACTCACTACAACATGGATACGCCTCAAAATCATTAAGTGAAAGAAGCCAGATGCAAAAGGCCACATATCGCTTGATTCCTTTTATATGAAACTTCCCAAAAGGCAAATCTGTGCACACAGCAAGATCAACGGTGGCTGGGGTTGGAGATGGGAGTGGAGGTTGACTGTAAATGGCATGAATGATCATTTTGGAATAATAGAAATGTCTTAAAATTGGATTATGGTGATGGTTGTACAACTCTATGAAGGTATTAAAGATTTTTGAGGCCAGACATTGTGGCTCACTCTTGCAATCCCAATGCTTTAGGAGGCTGAGGCTGGAGGATCACTTGGGCCCAGGAGTTCAAGACCAGCATGGGCAACATTGTGAGACCCCCAACTGTACAAAAAATTTTTTAATTAGCCAGGTGTGTTGGTGAGTGCTTGTAGTCCCAGCTACTTGGGAGACTGAGAGGGGAGGATCTCTTGAGCCCCAGGAGTTTGAGTTGCAGTAAGCTATGATCGTACTACTGCACTCCAGCCTGGTGACAGAGTGAGACCCTGTCTCTAAAAAAGAAAAAAAAATTTTTAATTACTGTTCACTTACATGAGTATATTTTATGGCATATCCTTTTTATATATATATATATGCACACACATACATACACAAATGCATTATATATATACGTAAAACACCGCAAAAAAGCAGTTTAAAAAATATTACACCTAATCTATGTAAAAAATGCAAGATCAGGTGTAGTATTTTTTAAACTGCTTTAAACACTACAAGAATATATAATCTAGGAATCAAAAATCATAAATAATCCCACTAACCAAATACAAGTACTTTAATAATCTAATTTATATTCTTCTGGATTTTTCTTTACATCTACTAGCATAAATGTGTATGCCCACATTTAAAAAAAAAAAACTAACTCGCACAGGCCTGCAGTTTCAGGAACTTGGGAGGCTGAGCCAGGAGGATGATTTGAGCCCAGGAGGTAAAGGCTGCAGTGAGCTCTGACTGTGCTACCACTGCACTCCAGCCTGAGTGACAGAGCAAGACCAGCCTGCATACCTAAAAATACATAAATAAAGAGAAAAACGATGTTTGTTTTGCATCTTAATTTTTTTTTAGCAGTAAGTTGCAGACACAGGTCCTTGGGTGTTTATTTACAGGTGTCTGATGTTCTGAGACCACAGAAGGCCCAGTGTGAAGACCTAATTAGCAATGGTCCTGAGCCCCCAACCCTGTTGACCTCCCCTGACCGTCCTCAGCCATTCCTCATGCCTCCTGAGGGCAGGCAGCATCTAGCCACAGTCCAGAGAGAGAATCTGGGATTCATTTTCACAGGACTTTCTTGATGTTAGATCTAGAGTAAGGCACAGAAGTCTCAAAACAGACCTCTGTTTAGTGCCTGCCTGAACTAGCATAGCAACTAGTAAAGGGGAACAATAACCAAAAAGTCAATAAAGAATATGGTGCGGCCAGGCGCGGTGGCTCAAGCCTGTAATCCCAGCACTTTGGGAGGCCAAGGTGGGTGAATCACAAGGTCAAGAGATCGAGACCATCCCGGTCAACATGGTGAAACCCTGTCTCTACTAAAAATACAAAAAATTAGCTGGGCACGGTGGCGCGTGCCTGTAATTCCAGCTACTCAGGAGGCTGAGGCAGGAGAATTGCCTGAACCCAGGAGGCAGAGGTTGCAGTGAGCCAAAATCGTGTCATTGCACTCCAGCCCGGGTAAAAAGAGCAAAACTCCGTCTCAAAAAAAAAAGAAGAATATGGTGCAAGGCCAGGTGCGGTGGCTTCTACCTGTAATTCTGGTGCTTTGAGAAGCCAAGGAGAGAGGTCCCTATAGGCCAAGAGGTCAAGATCAACTTAGGCAACATAGTGAGATCCTGCCTCTACAAAAAATTTAAAAATCAGCTGGGAATGGTGGGGACATGACTTTAGTTTCAGCTACTCTGAAAGCCGAGCTAGGAGGACCACTTGGACTCAGAAAGTAAAAGCTACAGTGAGCTATTATCCTGCCTTTGCACCCAGGGACAGAGCAATACACTGTCTAAAAAAAAAAAAAAAGTACAGTGCACTGTTTTCAAAAATATCAAGGCTGAAGAGTGCATTTAAGATTGCAGGATTTGGTGAGTGTCAGAACCCATCCTAAAAAACAATGACACAGCAGGACCCCACCTCTCCTTTCTTCCTCCACGCTCCGTGCTTCCTTCCTGAAGGAGGCCCTCCTGTTATTAAAATCAGGAATTGGGTTGGACCCAAGAGGGCCAATTAGGAGCAGCTCAGGATTGCAGCTCCCAGTGAAAGCGCAGAGGGTGAGTGGATGCCGCATTTCCAGACAGATTTTT